ATTTTCAAGATTGTGAAACCATACAGATTTCTTTGCATGTCCATCTGGGGTGATGTCCACAGCTTTTTGATTCATTTCAATGGCCTTGTCAATATCTGTCAGATTGCCAAGATGATCAAAGTGGCTCTGTAAAGCAATTTCAAGATTGTCAAGCCATATAGGTTTAGCTGCATGAGTTTCTGAAGCAAGATGCACAGCATTCTCCATTACAGCAATGGCGTTGTCAATATTTGTCAAATTGTCCAGATAGTCAAAGCAGCTCTGTAGAGCACTGCCAAGATCTTTCTGGCCATCTAAAGTGTGATGTGCAACTTTCTGCCCATTAATGAAGATTTTGCCATTTTTCAGCAGATTGTCCAATTCCTGATACAGATATTGAGATGTTGAAGAAACAGCTGCAGGGTCTTTGCTTCCAATTGTGCTTGAATTGAATCATTCTGAAGATCATAGTTATCTTTTGTGAGGTATCTGTCATCTTCTAGCCTGAATTTATTATCAACAATCTGGTGCTGTTCTGGAACAGTGTTGTACCTTGTAGCCCTTTCTGTTATGCTACACAAATCTGTGACCAACTTGACAATATCCTTCCATGGTAGCCTTGTGCATGAATAGTATGCACAGTTTCTGGACTTATCTCACAGAACAGTTAATACATACCCAGCTAATGTATTCTTCAAAGTTTGCAATATGGTTCTCAATTTCATTGAAAGCTCAGACAATATCAAATGAGGCCTTCTACAATGTTATTATCACTATATGCCGCAAGAGTGGAAGAAGCATACAGAATTTCTCCTTCTTCAGCTGGTGTGTCATCTTGAGTCGCCGAAGACAATGGGTTTGAGGCTCTGGGTAACGTTCATTATTTGTTTCAGACTACACAAAGCAGTCTAGAGTGTATTGCAATAACATACTGTGCTTTAGAGATTTCGCTCTGAGGCACTGGAGCCTGAGAATCGTCAGCACATTGCAGTGTTGACATTCTATGTATGTCATAGAGGTTCATCAGCAGGCTAAACAAGCTTATATGTGATCTGCTATTATGCCTCACTCGATTGATTTGCGGTCAACTTAGGATGCTCTGAGTCGAGCACAGTAGCCAGACTCACAGGGCCGGGTGATTCTCCATGCAGCTGGAAGGTGTCTTCGAATGCTTTGTCCATTGAATCTGTAGTCAAGAAGGTGTAGCGAAGAGTGCAAACGTTCAATGCAAGATGGTAGTCCACACAGGGAATGTGAGCAGAGAGAGAGGAATACGCAAGCAGCCAGCAGTGCGCATACAGCCGCACAGCCCACATCCTCATCTTTGATCGGCAATAATACCTGCTTTGCCGCTGTGCCTCACTATGCTCAACGTGTCACAGTTTTTCCGTGCCACAAGTCTCAAGCGCCCACGGATCATTATTTATCCACCAAGTTACTATATATAAAAGATACCACTACGCCTCCACGTGTATATCTTAGTATACCTACGCCACTCAGACATCCCTCAAACATGTACCAGCCACGTGACCCTACGTCATAGTGATATCATAGGCCTGGACTCCATAGACACTCCTAGACTTAAACGGACTCCACTAGGCCTGAGCACGCCATAGCATGCCATAATGATGTATTAGTATGAACCTAGGGTATGCAGGGTCTTACACCCGGTACCAGGGGTACTACCCCACTTGTATATATACTTGCTCGAGCTGAGGCCTACCCCTCAGTTTCGAGTTGGTCTTTACTCCTCTACTCAAACCAGAGAACCCTGATGGGTTAGGCGAGAGCAGATCCAGGAGTTCCTGAGATCCTTCACATGACGCCAATACGCCCGCTCGAAGAACGACCTGGCTTCTAGAACAATGCTATTTGAATCATTCGTTGAGGAGTCCCGACAACATAGCTGACCACAAGATAACATTGGGCTTGCTGCTTCTACCACTGGAGGTCATTCGCAGCTGTTTTGTCGTGGCGTAAGCCAACTCTTGTCTCCCCTAGGCAGACTACAAAATATCTGCTTCTCTGACAGAGGGAGGTCAGCAGATATATAGGTTAGGTAGACCTAACGCCAACTCCGCCTTTGCTGAAGCTACGCATCCTCGCCCATGATGCATGAATATGGGGTGCGCCGCGATTTCCCGCCGCTCAGTGCTCGCTCGTTCGATCGCCTGTCCTGTGTACCAGCACACGGTGGATTCGATGCACTTTTCATATGACGGCAGGGTGCGCTTTCTCCCAGCTCGGCATGGGGATCCTCAATGCACCTACTACCTGAGGACCAATGGCTTCTCACTGGCTTTCAAACTGCTTGTCTCCTCTTATGCAGACACAACCGCCTCTTCAATTCCCTAGCCCGCGTGATTGGCCGCAATGGACGGGAATTGAATTGCTTCAAGAATGTCTCCGATCCGGCGCAATGTACCTTCCTCTCATGCCAGCATTTACCAATACGTCCGCTTTTCGTGTATAATCGAGTGGATTCATTTGTCAAGGAAGGATTCGGAGACGCGAGGCGACTTCGTGCCTTGCAGACGGAGGAATCATTTTGGGTCCTTAGCACAGAACACTACGCGTGCTGTGATGCCAGAGAAAATATTGCACCCTCCCGTACCTTCATTCATGTGAAAGCCTGGTACGCAAACCTTCGGTCTAGACCGTGCTGTTAATATGCATCATAACGATGCCTGCAATGCTCCGTTACCTCTGCACATATTTTCGTCTCAACCCGCTGCTTCGCCTCTAAGATTCCCACAACATAACTTGCTGCAGCACACATGATTACCCACAAGCCTCTTGCAGTACACTATGTGCTTTCTGTGCTCCGTTCTGGATCTCGCTTACTTCGAGGTTATTTGTTCAACCGCAACCTCGTCTTGCAGCCCGGTTTATACGGACGACCTCGAGCTGGCGCACAATTCCGCCGAAGCACTGCAGGCCGAGCTGGACAACCTTCTGGGTGGCTATGGCAAGGATACGTCTAGGAAATATTGGTGCGGCTCCGGTGTTACCCAACCATCAGCTTCCCGTCTCATGGACGCAAAGGAGTGAGAGGCCGGTTAGGGCCACAAACGACTGGGGACTACAGGGTACAGGTGCGTACTTATATGGTTTCCGCCCTTCCCTACTCGACTGCTGCATTTCCAGGTACCGCCATGTGACGCGTCTCAACTCTCGCTTGGCACTCGTCCCTCCTGATGCGTTGAGCGCGTTCCACCAGAAATGCCATCGGTCGGCCATTTCCAACAATACTAGCAGGTGGTACAGGCTTATTGGATGGACATTGTTGGACGGCTGTTGTTCCCATACCACTGGTGGCTCTATGATGATACTTTACGTTCACATAGTGGTTTCAGATCTCATTGTCTTTGGCTAAGTACTATATATTTGCATGACCTGATTGAAGATTCGTACTATTGCTACTACGTACTGTTGTCAATGCTACTCATGTTGGCATGCTCTGGACATTCTCGGCGACGCATAGACAAAGGTAGCTATCGTACAAGAATATAGCCTCTCACCGCTTCGCTTCAGAGTGCGCTAGGCGCTACTTGCGCTTCAAAGTCCTCTTCACTCCTACGACGTCTCGGTGCAATTATGCGGTCCTTCCGTCTCATCGGAGCCCTTTTTGCACCACATATTCACCGCTCCTGTTCTAGCGACAACCATGAATTTCTCACGATGTACTCCAATCCAAGGTTGCGTACATCAATAACTGGACGTCCGCACAGACACCAATCAGCCTAGTATAAACCCGCCCGTACCTACGGACGTGAACGCAATCACGCTCCCACTCAGCGTCGCCCCGCTGTCCAGCACCTGCACCGCGGGGTGCGTCACGAGGCCCTCTACGCTCGCCAGGTCGAACGTCTCTTCTGCATAATTCAGGTTCGTCGCGAGCACGAGCGTCTGCGCGCCGACGGTCCAGAGGCCGACGTCGATCTGGTCTACGAAGACGTGTCGGAAGGACGCAGCATCGCTCGCGATATATGCCTTCAGCGTTGCAGAAGACTGCGCGAGCAAACCCGCATACGCCCAGATGTCGTCCGTCGTGGGCGCATCCCAGGAGACCACGCCTAAGGTAGGATAGTGAGCGCTATGCAGTGCGGAGGAAATGGGAGAACATACCCATGCCGCCGTGATTGATGGCGAGGACGCTTTGGACGATAAATTCTGGGCCGGTGGGATATCGCGACCAGTACCTGCTCGGTACGCCAATTTATGAGTGAACAATTCAGGCACAATTCGCATCGCTTACTGCGCCGCTCCGAACCCCTGCGGGACCGTCCACAGCGTCTTCGTCCTGTCCCAGCCGTTCACCCACATCCGGTACGAAAACATGTCCATGCGCGTGCTGATGTCCTCAAAGTCGCCCTTGCAGTCGTCGCAGCCGCAGCAGCCGTAGTCCGGGGTGCACGGCGTGTGCCACTCGACAGAGAATGTCACATTGTTCCCGATCATGTATGTGTCCTGCAGCACGATGTCCGCACCGTTCGAGTACTCCGTCCAATAGTAGTCAAAGCAGTTCAGGCACAGCGAGACGGGGTGGTATCCGTCAAGCTCGTAGATGAGGTCGTATGCGAGCGTCGTCCCGTTCAACGGGTCTTCGTTCCCGTCAGGCTCGTCGCCCGTATACCAAAGGAGCAGCGAGGGGCTGTTCTTCACCATGTTGACCTGCTCCGCGATGGAAGTTAGGTTCGTATACGTCCTGCCGCGTATTCAGAAGGGGCATAGTACGGACGAGAGTGCATACACGTACCAGCGCATATCGTACATCAGATAAATGCCGACCTCCTCCATGCGTGTGATGACCTCTTGCAGCTGCGTTAGGTTGTCATACGTTGGGATCGGGTGGATCTGCAGGCGACGTTGCCGTCAATTATATTGCAGCGCATGGATCCGAACGTACGATTGAGAATCTGAAAATGATGAGTGATAGGCAGAACAGTCAGAGTAGCCTTCCTTACCCTTGTTCCTTCGCCTCATCGATCCTGGACAAGTTGGTCGCGAGATAGTCCCCGAACGCCGTGTAGAACCCCACAGGAAAGACAGTCTCGTAGTCCCCTCCCTCACCTGTCGCGGGCTTCGCCAACAAAACACCAGTCCTCAGGTCCATTTTCACCACCGCACTGCCATCGGTTGGTTCCGGAAGGTACGACAGGGTCGTAGCCGCGCTGAACCTCTGCGGGCCCGCTGCAGCGCTCACATACGTCGCAGTGCACGACACATCATACGGCTCCTTCTGCGCCGCGAGTCCGGACAGCGAGAACGGCAACTCGACTTTGGTCGCGTTCAGAGCGACGACGCCGCCCGTGACGACTTTCCCGTCCACTTCGACGACCACGACCACGTCACCTGCGCGGCCATCATAGTCCGGGAGGCTGATTGGCACTGCATCGCTGATCTCGGAGTACGTGAGAACGGCATCGATGAGGATTCCCGCAGGGGAACCGGCGTCCGAGGCTACGTAGGGACGAATCGCGGGTGCGCAGCGGAACGCGAGGAGCGGCGAGGAGGAGCTAGCGGGGATAAGAAACTGCCCACCAGGAGGTACGACCGGGGAGCCCTCCATGTAGTTTTTGCCGCACCTGGGTAGACGTTACCTCCATTCCATACGATAATAATCCTGCCTACCCACCATGATTGTGCTGATGCTCCGCCGATGGCGCACAGTGACAGACAAAGCGCGAGCAGCCTCATCGTGTGCAGCGAAGAGTCGTCGGCTCTGTGGGGCCTCGCTCAACACAATACGATATATGCAGCATACGTGTGTACTGATTCCCGGGGATGTCGAGAGTGTGAACGATAGAAGACGGGGAACACCATGTGGATCAATTTTCAGCGCCTGATTATTCTCAGAACATGACCGTATCTACTGCTCTGTCAAAAATTTCGCGATAAGTAGACGGCAGATGGGTCAAGGGTCGGAAATAACACACTCGAGCAGAGAACGTTGTCGATTCGACGGTTATCTCACGGGAGATGCACAGTTGCTCTGGCCGGCGCACTAGGACCCAACTTGAAGCTCCTCGGACCTCGATGTGCCCTGTCCAATGCTCCGGTTAACAGGCAACTATATTATGCATGTCAACTGACGTGTGAATGACGAAGCAAATGTTCCGGCAATGGCGTGTTCACAACTGGCAAAGCTTTCATGATGATAAACCAAGGAAGCGAACACGCAGTACGAGTATAGGGCACGCTCCAATGGTCAAGCAGATACTAGCACGATGGATGAAGACAGACGGTCGGGCCCACGACATGTGCATACATGCCCATGACCGTCGTAAGTGGCTTCAATGGCTTCAATGGGTTGAACGAGACTTGCGCATACATTTAGCTCCATTTAGCTGGATCGTGGATACGGATTCACTGCACCATGGTATCATCACTACAGTTTGACACAGCAAGGTCCTCCTCAGCCTTAACATTGATTCAAACCAAAGTACGACTTGCGTCGCTGGACAATATGGCACTACAATCTACAGAAAATTAAATCACACTCAACTCGATCTGAGCACGAGGCGGTGTGGCACGCGTGAACTCGTGTAGTTGGTTCTTGACATTGCCGAGCCATCTGTCTATGATTATGCGGGATTTATGTAAATCGAACATGTTGACGGCAGCACAAGTCGCCTTTTGTTTGAGATGAACCCGTTAGGATATATCTAAAGAAAAGAAATCAGATAAGCGAGCGGCGGCAACGTTCTGCGCTTGCACAATCACCGTCACCATGCTTTTAGCCCACGCCTTTCAACTTCTTGCATTCCCTTCCGCCAGCCAGATCTGCAGCGGACAGTCACTATCTCCCTGAAGCCTTTTCCTATACGAATCCTTCGAGCTTGTAACGTCCGTGCGCACCAAGGTCGCTACAGTCTCAAAACGGTCATCTCTGCAGACTCGACGTTGACCGTACAGTTATGTCACAGGAAATGGAGTGCCCGTTACTAGTGTGGATGCTGTTTCTCAATCGTGAGATGACTTCTGAGGTGAAACAAAGGAGAAAATCCACTGCCTCCGCCTGATGCTGATGCTAATATGCGCGCCACACTTTCAGGAATACGAACGATGCTATCAAACAGTGCAGACATGTGTTCCTCATTCACGAGTTCCTTCTGCTCCGACTAATCCAGAAACCATGCGTGAGTGGCATGTGTCTAGTTGTTCAGCTGCTGCTGAGCGTCCTACAGGACAAGTTGTTGCGCATATGCTGCCGCTACTGATGATGCGGCACAGGCGGATACCTCGTGCCAAGTGGAGGGATCAGATCAGCCCGAACGGTAAACATTACATAGAGCAGGTATGTGGTGCGTTTGTTTGAGACGAGGTGCGATGCAGACGGTGTTCCGCAGGACGTCGACAGCGCGATGCACCCCGCGAACCGCCTCCGAGCAATGATCGGGTACCACCTCTGCTATGACAACAACGTCGTCGGGATGGTGATGACCCAGGGGCGCATGAAGGACGTAGTCAACGTCGGGCTCGGGGTCAAGCAGCTATGCGTATTCCCTCCAGAGGCGACTGTGGCCGCGTACGCCGAGTCATTCCATCACAAGGTGCGTCGCCCGTCATCGCTATCATCCGCGCCCATGCTCATCTAACAGCGCTGCAGCTTACGCCGCTCGAGCAGAGCTTCATTGCGCCCGGAGAGCCCGATGACGTGATCCTACGGCGACTCTGCCTGCTGCTCGCTCTCAAACAGGCATACATCAAGGCGATCGGACAGCCGATGGGCTTCGACTGGACCAGACTCGAGTTCAACATTCCCGGTGAGGCGTGCACGGGCGACGGGCTCCCGCTCCAGGGCTGGGAGTTCCGCGTCTGGCAGGCACAGATTGGCATCACACGCAACGGCACCGTCATCGAGGAGGTGTATCAGTGTGCGGTTGCCTTTTTCCGAGGTACTCGGGACACCAAGTTTATCTGGCAGAAGGACGTCAAGGATCTCGAGTCTTGGGTGCAGTTTATCAATTTGGACCAGCTCGTCAACGTTGTTCCGAAGCTCACCGATTGAAAGCGAATGCAGTTGTGGCGAATACCCGGATACTTTGTGCCCGTCGTGATCTCATGGAGTTCTTTGGCTATTGTTCTTGTACGACGTTGTTGTCATCATCACCATCTCCAATCCTTGCTGATATATCGCAATGCTTAGTGGGCCGTAGTGGAGAGTGGAGAATGGATCTAATGTAACGCAGGGTCGACCGTGTTGTTTCTATCTAGTTATTCAATCTAAAGCAAATTGGGATGCACCACATTCCCGGTTATCACGTTGAGTGGATGCTATGTTCAATGTTGTAAGCGCCAAAGTGCCCATCGGTCAGAATGTCCAATATATGCTGTACACAGACCTACCAAAACCATGAGGTACGTTGAGAGCGGCTATTTTTAGACAACCCGCTTTCTAACAACATAATTCAAGCAAACTCTATGGGAGGACTTCAACCAGATTCATGAGTCTATTTGAATTGTAATTTGTGAAAGTTGATTGTTGTCCTCGCGCCTCGAATATCACAACTTGTACAGCAATGAGCATACGTTTTGCCCTTCGAAGAGTCAAGGCCGTCTGGGAACCGGTGTGACACCATTAGTCCTTTTTCGCCATTTTTATTGTTATTTAAATACTAGCAGAGGAAACTGAGCGTGAGCGATGGAAAGCTCCAGTGACGGCAAATCGGAACAGACGCAACAAAATCCTCATTGTTCGGGCCTGCCTACCAATTCATTCTGCTGTCAACTTCTTGGCCAAAGAAACGACTTCATTATTGTCCTCGTTTATGGTCCCCTTGGCCACCGTAGTGACCATACCGTTTCCCTCCTTCCACAGTCTGAAATGCGCTTCTTCGTCCCACACAAAAGGGCTTCTACTCGTAAACAGATGGTCCATTTCTTCTAGCGTGCGATTTGCAGTCTCCGGGTAGAAGGCCCATACTATAGGGATCGTCACGAAATTGATTGCGCCGAAGACGTGCAACGTATTCTCTCTCATGCGGGAAAACATGATCGGATTTAGCAGGGTCATCCAGCCGTTGCCTAAACGCACGGTCGCGGCGATCACGATAATCGTTCAGTAGCGATACGAAATGTAAGACACATACACACCGATGGACCAACCGACCATGCCCCATGCGTTCCCTCGTGCGCGCACGTACAGTGGGAATGTCTCCGTTTGATACACCCATGGGATCGCCAGCCACGTTGCACCAAAGATGGCCGTATAGCTGAAAACGAAGAGCGCCGCTGCCCCGCCGTATTGAGAGGACTTGGCATGATTGTTTTTCAGCAGTCGACTGAAAGCACCGGCGAGGATCAGCGAGGTGCCTTGTCCGACGGCACCCCACCATAGACCTATGCGTCGGCCTACTCTGTCGATGGCAGCTACCCCAAACAAGCTGCAGAGCGTGTATGTGATCTTTCGGACAAGCAGTAAATGCATAAATTGATGCCTCATGAGTCAGCGAAAGGCTCACATAATTCAGGCCTGATAACCATTGCGATTTCCGCGGTGCATAGCCAGCATTGGAGAAAATGGTCGACGCATAGAAGATGATTGCTGCAATGCCCGTCCACCTACAACTCATCCGTTAGAGATGCAGACCGCTGTACAGGAAGAGGATGCGCACTCCTGGAAGATCTGCAACCACATGGATAGTTGCACGCGACGTGCAACATGTAGGTCGCCGTCATGTAGACCAAAGAACATCGCAATGTACGAGTTCCCTGCTGCATGTTCCTTCTCCAGCTGCACCGTTGCGAGAATTTCGTCGTACTCTGCCATCACGCCTGGTTTCTCAGGATCTCCGTCCTCTGAACGGAAACGCGCGAGAATCAAGCGTGCCTCCTCCAGCCGGCCTACCTTCATGAGCCATCGCGGACTTTCTGTCGCAGTGATTCAATGCTCAACGAACGATACCAAATGCGTCTGGACTCACCCGGCATGGAAGGGACCAAGCCCTATCGCGAGTTCGTCAGCACCAATCGAATCAACAATCCTACTTCACTTGCCATAAAGACGAGGATCGGCAGCACTTGGATAGCGATGGGCAACTACCAGTCCTCCAATCAGCCTTCGACTTCAGGCCCGCGACCAACACACGTACCCTCCATCGTACTTGGCTGGTCCCATCACCGATGAAGCTGAGGCCGAATTCCAGCCAATACGATACGACGACGCCGAAGATGTTCAGGGTGAATTCGCTCGCGATGAAGGCTCCTCTTGTCTTGGGCGATGCAACTTCGGCGCTCCAAACTGGTACTATGGCGTTGAGGTATCCGGTCCCGATGCCATTTATGAGGCGAGCACAGAGCATCCTGACATCGTACTTATCCATTTAAACTCCCAGAGTGTTAAGGACATGCGCACCAAGTGATGTTTTGCGCCGAGCACTGTAAGATGGCTCCGGCAAGAACCCATACGCTACCCTGCGATACCAGTGATACGCACCATGTCAAACACCGAGATGTGTGACAAGGCTAATGCCTCACAAGTATCATCGTCTTGATACGTCCAATCCTGGCGAAATGGTCAGCAACGAGAAACATCCACATTACGTGCACTTACCGATCTCCGAGAGCACCTCCCATAAGACATCCAAGCAGCGTACCGAGGTAATATATGCTGACAATTCCCCCTTGACGTGTGGGCTCTGTGATGGTGACCACATAGCCTTCAGAAGAACCGCCGTAACTACCAGCAAGTGCCCATGGATTGTCAACCTCTCAACACGCACTTCGTTTTCGCGGAACTCACGTTGAATATCCAAGCCTCATAACGCGAACATAGTCCGGGGAGTTGTTGACGCCTACATCGACCGTTAACGCCCTCTATATTTTATCTATGTACTCAATCATACGCACCTCCCATGATACCTTGATCGTAGCCGAAGCTGCCACGGGCCATCGAAGACATGAGCGAGCTCACAGATAATCCGTCGATGCACCTCACAAGAAAATGGCCAGACTAGCCACAAAATTCGCGGTGTAATACAATCGCCTGCCACACAACATCGACAGCGTTTTCCGTGGCATCGCGTTGGAGAAAGAAGAAGTCGCCATTGCGTGAGCGATACAATGCACTGATCTAGCCTAAGATAGAGCGCTACGTTCCAAAAGCATATCAGGTACGACCAGGAGTACGCTGCAGGTACAACCAGGAGTACGCTGGAGTTACAGCTCATGAGACCCGACATGAATTTCAAAGGAGGCCGATAAGCTGGTCTTGTGTCCCAAGGCCACTACCATTCGCCAGATGTCGGAGTGCCAACGCGGTGTTATAATCAATAGGAATCGCAAGAATTGGGTGTGACAGAGGTAACGAAATGGACGTTGAATGGCGCACATGATCAGTGAGCCGAAGACTCTCCGTGTAAGGGACTCTGCCAGTGGGTCCATGCTGCTTCCAATGCATGTCAACGACCAAATTCGCTTGAACTGGCATATATCTGTGAGATATAAATTCAATGCAGCTCATGGTATAGACACAACAACCTACAGCACGGATAGCCACCGTACACGCGCAACATTTACATCGGAGGTAGCCACGATTTACAGCCGCAACAAGCCCACAGCGTAGAGACGTGCAGCAAAGAAATCAAGTGCACGATCATGTTTCGAGAACAAATGTAGAGACGAGGTATATTAGGCAGCGAGCAAATTTAAAGTGGCGGCTGTCAGATTCGAACGTCGAGGCTCGAGCGTGTACACGTGTAAGCTTAAGTGTTGATCATGTGACCGTGTAATCTCCGATAGCACAGGCGTGCCGTCCTCCCGCTTCACTTATGGCCTCCTTATGATCAAGCGTTCTGAATCCACACAAACGATGCCTACTGCACTTGCATTTCTCCTTTTAATTCTGGAGAGATTCATTGACTGCCATCGACGGATGTAAAGAACGCCATCGCCACGTTTACAGGCTGCAAGCCATCCGAGTACGTAAGATCAGTGCGACAAACCACTTTATTTGACTGATGAGCGTGCAATTTGATCTCAACGTACTTTGCCTGGCTGTGCATGTACTGAACGCACGTAGCAACTGAGCACTGCATAGATCAACGTGGGCAGGCATCGAATGATCGATGTCACTGCTGTGCGAGAAAGCTGTCATGCCCTTATGTGATCGAACATCAAGCCTCTGTCAGTCAAATTGTATTTCGCGGTGAATCATACACATTCTGATGGCCACTTGCGCGTGAACGCTGGTTATGACTTTGTTGGTCCTCAATTTATTCAGTTTAGACACCGGCACTGCTCTGGAATATCAATCGCAGTCAGCACAGCATACGATCAGTGACACCGCTCGGCGCGCGTGCCTTTAAGCTCTCCCCGATCAATTCAGCTTTTGTGGGGGGCATGGGCTCGCCCAACGCTATAAAGATGCTGCATGAAGTCCTGTTCTCCTAAACTCAAGTCAAACCTCATCGACCATCAATCCAAAGTCTGCGTCTGTCGATGGCTTCTCAAAGTAGCGACGTAATACACGTACTCGAGGTCTAGTGAGTACCTGCCTGATTTCAGATACCCAGACGTCTCACACGGGAACAAATCACCAACAGCAGTGAAGTGGCATACTGCGAAGTCGCTGTCGTAGGTGAGCAGGTAATGACTCAGGAACGTTCTCTACTGAAGACATTTGTTCTGCTGTCCATAGCTCTAGTTGTCTACGAACATCTCCTTGATTTGCCGAGAGAGATCCGCTTTGTTTGGCTTGGCAAATGGGGATGGGGATCAGTCGTATACGTCGTAAACCGCTATTGCATACTCGCATGGGCTGTGATTTATACTCTTCCGTGGAACATAGTGAGTCTTATATACGCTAACGAAATATCGGGACGCTCATTCTGGCTCACAGAAGTTCGTCGCTCTGTATAGATGCTTTCATACGGGCGGCTGATACCTGCGATACCGCCAGTTGCAAAGCATTTATGATTATAGTTGATGTTGTCATCCTATTACTCTTCGCCTTACCAGCGGGTAAGCCGTGCAACGCTGCAACTTCACGCAGATTATGCTGAGCAATTGTTGAAAGCTTTTTCCGCCCTCCGGGTCTTTGCCGTAAGTGGCCGCAACAGCATCATCACTGCGCTGGTCCTTGTGCTGGGGTTGGCCCCTGTAATCACAAACATCGTGCGTGACTAGCACCTACCGTGATCGATGGAATGCTAAAGCTCTATGGGTGTGTCATTGTTGGTCACAGGTTAATTTCTCTACATCACGGCCGGTCGTTGAAGATGGCAACTGCTACGCTATCAGCAGGCTGCCAGCCTCTATCAATGACAAGTCCGTGTGAGGTGTGACCTCCATACCTTCGAGCATACTGACTAACATGCTTTCTCAGATGTAACGTCCCTGCAGACGCCTTTCCGTCACGTTGCTGACTGGATGCATTTGCAGTGGTTATACTCACTCGATGCTGTCAAATCGCATGTGACGCCATAGTTCTGGCAACACTATGGTTCTACAATCGTACCCATCTAAAGATGGTGCGGCAGATGAGCTTTCGGTCCGTGGCGACAGTGCTATTGCGAGATGGTATGTGCGTAAACTGAACCGAAGATGCATTTCTGAGCCCCATGCGTCCTCAGGTTCCGCCTATTTTGCGTGCGTATATGCGGACGACCCATTTGCATCACGTAGCTTCACTGACTCGCTCGATGTTCAGAACGTTACTTCTGCTCAACGTCTTAGATGTCATTCTGTGGACTCGCGGTGATGTCAGTTCATAGCATGAGGCGTTCCAGGCGTGCCTTCGACTGACAGCTACCCCAGGTATTCCAGGAGACCGTTGACGAGTTCGTAATCCCGTACGCATACAACACCTTCCTTCGCTGGTATCTGTTCTGATTTCCAGGCAGGCTCACATCCATCCTGATATCGCGATGCCTGCTGGGCATGCGCGAAGTCGTTGTCGCACCAACCGAGAGCAGCGATTTTGTAATGCCCAATGTCAGCTTCGGGACACCTGATATCGTCCGGACTTCGCAGTCTACGATGTCGTCGGACCACTTCATCGATACCTTGACTAACCGATCAATTGATGCAAGCAGGTACGTAGTTGTATGGCTTATGCCCGTTTAAATCTAGTTGACTTGGGTGCGCTCAGAGAAACGGCGTAGGCGAAGTGGGAAGCTTCGTGATAGCGTTAACTCGAGATGTCTGGGACACTCTCGGACGAATTGCAGATACAATGCTACTAGGATCTGTCTCCGGCCATTTGCACTATATCGGATGACAGAAGATACGGCAGTCGAAGTTGGTCCGAGTATTCGAATCTCCATCAGAACCATGATTTATACTACAATTCATGTCACTTGTGAAAGTCTTTAAATAGTCGCACTCCCTGATTACCGGTGGTCTCCTGTAGCTCATGATTTTCGAGCCAGAAGAGTGGTCCAGCGCGCACCACGCTGGCGCTCAGGTTCAACGAGCGCTCAATATGTGGGCTGCTCTAATCTCTATCACCACCGTCCACATGCTTGATCAGGCTGGCGCGGCGACAACCTCTGTTCTGTCTGCCTTGTGAAAATCTTCGAGTCGTTGTACAACCGACTCTGTGGGCCGGGGATCTTGCACATCACACAGGAATGTTCCCACCGTCGGCGCTGGACCCTGGTAGTACGATTGATGTGTGTGACCTTCCCCATGGGGCATCGTTCTCTGTCATCATCCCCGAGCCATCTATAAGACGCATGTCTCCGGGGATCGTCGGCAGTCTTGCTCGGACACCGACCTCCCTACGAAATGGCGGCCAAAATCACTCCAGCGTCCAGGACCGTCCTGGACATGACTGCTGCGCGGTCGCAGGCTAGCATCGACGTACCACGAGTACGAAACTATGTCTACGGTAAGCGTTACGCATTCGTTGTGGGTTCGCGTTTGAACCCCAATGGTTGGTAGGCGGGCAGGACATGTGGGACCGGAACACTAAGTTCGTGAAAGCCATGGAAAACGATCCCGTGTTCGACAAGTCCGAGAGGTACGTGCGTTGAGACTTGGTCTCCATCATTGGAATAAAGTCGCGCCGGCAGAGTGTACATGTCTCGCACGGAACGCTACAAGCGCGCCATCAAGCTGACCCACAGGTTCTACGAGTTGCAAGACATTCACGGATGGTCGAACGAGGAGGCCGCTCGAGCGTTCGTCCTCATAGACGAGGACCTGCCCATGCATTTGAGCTCTGCCAGTACGTCGTGCAGCCTCAGCTGTTGCAGCATGCACCTTAATGTGGACAACGATCACAGCATTCGAACCTGTGTTCATGGACCAGTGCGGTCCTTACCTTCGCGCGAAGTATGGCGAGCTCGTCGCCAATCGTGGCATTCAAGGCTGTTACATGCAGACGGAGCTTGGCCACGGGACGGATGTCGGGTCGCTCGAGACAACTGCTACATACATCCCCGAGACGAAGGAGTTCGAGATCCACTCTCCTACGCTGACCAGCAGCAAATGGTGGATCGGCGCATTGGGCAAGACGGCGACCCACGGCATCGTGCAAGCGAAACTTATCCTGCCTGGAGGGAAGGACATGGGCCCTCATATGTTCTTCGTCCAACTCCGGTCGCTAAGTACGCTGTCCTGGTAATTTGAGCTTCCAGTGACTAATTGATCACAGAGGATCACACTTTGTTGCCCGGAAGGACCGTGGGCGATATAGGTACTGCGCGCATGCAAAGACATCTGATTGCGGCTAAACTCGCACTATTCGCTAGGCCCGAAGGTGTTCGGTGGTTACATCACGGTTGATAACGGGTATGCACGCTTCGATCACGTCCGCATCCCCAGGGAGTATATGCTCTCTGAGTACTCTCAAGTGACCGAAGATGGTCAGTACGTCAAGCCACTACACGCGAAGCTGAGCTACGGTGGGGTGCGTGCACATTTTCTCCATTCAGCGCAGCTCTAGACCGCTTCCTTGCAGATGCTCTGGGTGCGCGCTGCGTGAGGCTAGATTGACCGATGCCGTGAAAAGACACTCACATCCTTGATTAGTTTGGTAGGCAAGGGAGGCATGTTCATCGCAAAAGGTAGTGGACCTCCCGCATGTCAATCGCTAGCGCTGACCTATCATCAGCTGCCACAATTGCGATACGGTATTGCACTGTGCGCCGGCAGAGCAACAAAGGACCCGATGGCCTCGAGCGTTCCGTCATTTCGTACCCGTCGGTACACTATAGGCTGCTCCCTGTGCTCGCGCACGCGTACGCCTTCCTCCTCCTCGGACGAGACCTCGTGCGTCCTTTTTTCGTAGTCGATGCCACGTAGTCCTATCTGACAATGATTTCTGGTATAGAACGAACGCGTGCGCATAATGGGCACGCAGCTCGCAGTCGGAGACGCATCGATGGTGCCTGAGATGCACCTCACGTCCAGCGCGCTCAAAATTCTTGTGACTTCCCTAGGTGTCCAGGACATCGAGACTGTGAGGCGCGCCATGGGCGGGCATGGCTTTAGCGCGTACTCTGGACTCGGACGGTTGTACGCAGACTGGCTTCCGACGGCAACGTAAGCGAATATATTGGCGAATGGAAAGCGCGCTGACTATGGCTACCAGGTACGAGGGCGACAACTACGTGCTGGACATGCAGGTCGTCCGCGGTGCGTTGAAGTCTCTGCGCAATCTGCAGTCGTCCAAGTCCAAGAGCAGTGTCGTGTCTTCCCTGCCGCAGTCCTCGGCTTTTGTGCGCTTCATCCTGCCAGAGTACGCCTCTGTTGCTGCTGCGCAGGCACTGAACTGGTCCGACCCTAAAATATCGATTGTCCTCTTGGAGCGGCGCGCGGCGGCGATGGTTCAGAACCGCGCAACGCACGAGAGAGATCCGGATGCGAGCATGGACAACCGCGTGTCCCGCTCAGCGGCGGAGGCGTACTTTGGTGTGCGCATCGGCGAATTCATTGAAGGTCTCGGGAAGACGCTCAAGCCACATGAGGCGGAAATTGTCGGGAAGATGTTTACTTTGGTACGTTTACAGGGTACGGTCACTAGCGGACTGCTGCTTAGAATGGAGTGGTCTTTTCAGGGCTTGCTCACGCTCGTCGAGGGTGGCCTCGTTGATATCTTGGCGTTCGGGTTGTTACCAGCATCTAAGGGCGAGGACCCGGCGCGGGGACTGCGGATGGCGATCAAGGAGCATTGTGCTGCACTCCTGCCAGAGGTCATCGGTCTGACGGACGCCTTCGGCTTCACCGACTGGCAGCTCGACAGGTGGGTTTTCCTGATAGTCTACAATCTTTGTTACTGATCATATTCATCCCAGTGCACTCGGTGTGTACGACGGGAATGTATATGAAGGGATGTGGAAGAAGGCTCAGACAGAACCGTTGAACGCCACTGAGGTCGTTGACGGCTACAAGGTGCGTCAACCATAGCGACTCAGCCAGTCAGGTCTGGAGACTGTACCATACAGGAGTACATCAAGCCGATGTTGGAGCGTGGTCAGCGGATCGTGGCTTCTGCGTCGAAGGCAAAGCTGTAGACTGAAATTATAGATTCCGGAGCATGCTGAATATGTAGTTAGACTACACGATCGTTCTCACCACTCATGCGCGCCAAGTCTTGTTGGTCTGTTGTTATACCATGTTTTTCAGAATCGTCCAACCCATCAATGCGTTAATCGTACCAGGAGTGTGATATGCATACTGGCCATCGTCGTCGTTGTATTCATCTCCGAAACCTTCTATGCGGGTCATCTGGGCTCCAGTTGATTTGGACGTGAATTACTTTCTTTTGACAGATGTTGCCACCTCTGCTGTTTCGAGCTGTAGTAGCCGTCGATAGCAGGTGAGAGCAATCTTGCATGCATGAGCCGCTAATGTATCGCATCGTCTGGTCTTCCCGGGCCAGCTTCTCAACGTAGGTGAGAGTGGGTCCACCTGAGATTTCTTCGTGTTGCTTTCTGCAGATCCCTCAACGCGTAGACAATACGTCTTCTCTTCGCGTTCATCTGCCTCGCGCCGCATCTCCTCGATTCCTTCCACCCTGCCGGGATGGTCAAGATGTCAGGAAGCGTGACACGCGTGCCGGAGGTGTGCGTGTCTCCTTCTGTGGACATCCAGTCAGATACTCGGCCATGTCATTTGTCTGTCAGAGGAAAAATCAAGTCCAAGGAGGACACCCCCGACAGCCGGTGATTGCGATGCCAGACAGTCCGTCTAGCGGGGAGGACATAGGGAGAAATGAGAGGGCTCTTTCGAAGGGCCTGCAGGGCGAGTTTCCCTTCGTCCAAGTTCAGGCTAAGGAGGTAAAGATCGGTGTAAATAGATGCATGCATTGTGGTGGTCACATATACGTATCGTAGTCTTTCTGCGCCAACGTGATTCAACTTGCATCCACAGCGACACATGCAGCACTCACTTTATGACCATGCCACAATGCTTAGCGACTCGAGGTCCAAACTATGTGCGATGAAAACAACGCTTCAGGGTAATGCTATGCACAATCGTTCCGCAAATCTGGGGGCGTACGGTTTTCACGCTAATACGTGTAGTGCGCGCGAAGGAGGCCTGGTGAGGGCTTATAATGATATAATCATATTGCACCAGGTCGCTAGACGTAACAACATCAGTCATACAACAAATATTCACGTACTGATACACGGCAGATGTGGCTGTGGCCACCTATTCCTCCTCCTCCTCCTTTTCCTCCTCCTCCTCCTCCTTTTCCTCCTCCTCCTCCTCCTTTTCCTCCTCCTCCTCTTCCTGTTTTTCGTCATTACCGCTCTCTTCACCAGTTTCTTCGGCACTCTCCTCCTCTTCGTCCTCGGAGACTACCCTGCGAGTTGCCTTTGTTACCTTGGGCGGAGGAGCGTTCTTCTTAGATGAAGGAGGTTCCACTTTCTTCTGCTTCGAGCTAGAACTGGCGGTCGCACTGGATGGCTTGGCCTTTCGGCTCTTTGGAGGGCTCCTCGAGGCCTTTTTGTGCGGGCGCTCCTCTTCTCCGTCATCGCCATCTCCCTCGCTGAATCCCTGCACCTTCGTGTAGTCTACGCGAATGCCACGGGTCCTGCGGCCTCCAGTGATGATGTTGCTCGTGTCGAGCGCGCCGAGTTCATCTAAGCAGAGCGGCCGCGCTCAGGATATGGCAGGTGTGCTGCCCAGCCCCGCGGCTATAGAGACATACCGTCGTCGACGCCAGCGTCCGAGTTATCGCTTGCTGCAGCTTCCTCCTCCGAGGAGGTTTCACGCTTTGCTCTGGGAAAGAGTCGGCCCTGACGCTCAAAAATGACAAACGGTGACTTACTTCTTGCTCACGCTCTTTTTACCGGAGCTAGAGTGCTCTGCGCGACGTTTGGTGCGTGATGACATGATGAGCTTGAGCGGCAGAGACGAGTGAGCGAACGTCGTGCGCGCACAATCGCAAGCGCTCGTAGGCGCTCGTGGATGCGGAGGCACGTCGGCTCGCTTTAGTTTCTCTTTGGTTTCTCTAGCCTGAGCCAGAACCGCTACCAGCCGATCGACGTGAACCTCGACCGCAGGTACTGGACATTTTGTTACTTTCATTTTATGACGGTCATAATATATGCGGCTTTATTTGACGCCCCACGCTGTCTGCGCATTACTCAAATCAACGCTCGCTAGGAATCTTCATCCACGTAGAAGCCCGCGCATTGCTCATATTACGCCGCACTAGTTCGCTCTCGCTTTCTTCGCGCTTCGCATTTGAACGTCCGCAGAAGCATTGTCGTGCTCGTCACAACGCCGGCGCTGTCTTGTGAACCCTCTATGTGCTTCCATTTTGAGCTTCGCTCGCCCATTCTCGCCTTCTTGGCGACTCACGTATGAACATCTCCAGAAGCATTCTCTTGCTTGTTTCCACCGCCGTTGTCCTGAGGGTCTTCTGTGCGCTTTCGCTTCTCGCCGTGTTGGCGGACGGACTTTGTCACGATTAGCAGCTCCTGGCCGCGCCGCGTTGGAATACATGTGGCCTTGCGGAACGCTTGCACCGAAGCATATATAGTTGGCGAACTGTACGAGCACTGAGCACTGAGCTGACAATATGTCAGACGTGATCGCGCGACATATCTCTTTGCCTTTTGACATTGAAATACTTGGTTGTCTCCGACTCTTCTCATCTCCACCGCGGTCGCCTTGCTGCCTTGGTTGAAGAAGTCTTCCAGTGCTGCCTCCGTGTCGGGGAACTCCTCACCGAACCATTTCTGTCATGGCGTTAGCTCGTTGCGACGATAAGATTCTCACCACATATACAATGAGCGTGTCTCCGCTGCTCTCGTATGGACTTAAGGATGTCTGCCTCTGGACTCTCACTCGCGCCTGCCAGCCAATCACCAATTCGCCAAAAATACTTCGGATAGACATTACTCTAGAAAATGTACGACTTCCCTGGATTTCTCTATCTCGCATCTGATCTCTTTCCACTCGATCTGCAGTCCTGAAGCAAGAGTAACGCGCTGCTTGCTGCATAATATTGGGCTCCAGTGAGTTATACTCTCGCACCTCCGTATGCCACCGGACGTAGGCGTCATCCTCGCTAACGACGAGCTGGTGGCTGTGATGCAGAGCTTCCATGCTCCAATGATAACCAAATTGCCAATATGCATGCACGCGATCAAACCATGCAACAAGCACGGTTGGCACCCAATGGCCCGCGTTCGCCATGTACTGATTCTACAGGAACCTGGATGTGCACGTCTCAAACCTGTGGATATGTCAGTTGAGAACGTGGCACTCACCGATCGTACGGAAGATTAGCGTCCGAGAAATAGAGTTCAACTTGGCAGGAAAAGATGTTTATTAAGAATAGCACGATGCGACAAGTCGAACTGGATTGTACTTTGCCTCATCGCGTTCGACAACCATGCGAGTTGTAACCGTTTGCGTTGCTCGTTTCGTAAGTCTCTGTCACGGGTCTCCTGTCTTCTTCGTCAGAACTCGCGACATCCATATCCGCTGTGTCCGAGTCCTCTGTGTTCATAATATCGCAATAAGTATTGCTTCATCTGAGTGTTATCATGCCCTTCTTTTTGAAGTCGCTCGCGCAGAGGCATCATCAAAGTCCATCTCGATTCCTGGGATGGGCGATGATGCATATTCGGTTCCGCAGATGAGCAGAATTGTTGCTAGACAGTGCACCTAGACCAAGCAAGCGGCATAGAAAGCACCTGAGCAGCCGTAGAGCGGTTCTCGGACGCGTTATTTGTGCACGTGGGTCCCGCATTTTTTGCCACCTTTATACGAAGCCCTCGTGCGGCCAGACCGCACAAGCGACAACTCCCAGGTAAGTTGCCATCCATCTTAAGGACTGGTTGATACTCTATGTTCACGCATCACGGCAGCCTTGCATGCCAACATATTTGGTAGCGAGTCAGTTAGCTACGCGAAACCTTCAGCCACAGGCGCGATTCACGGGCACGTGGCACATTGCAGCCTCATTTCCCACCACAATCTCTCTTTGGACGTCCCTTTCCGCATGCACTCTCATGCGCCCCGCCTCACTGCAATCTGATTTCATTTCCGAAAGACAATGGAAGAAGAACGAGATGCCTGTAAATATGCTGGAATCGCTATCATTTACGGCATCAATGGGCTAATCAGGTGGTCGGGGCCCCTTCGACATGCACTCCACTCTTTTCAGAAATTGGAAGCCGTTTGACATGTCCTCAGCACGAACATCTCCCTTCTACCTTGAATTACTGGTACTTGCACAGCCATTGCGGGCATTTCCGCACACTATTCTGCGGCATGGCGTTTCCGATTCCCCTCCATTCTGAATCGCTCGTGCATTCTCTGGCCGCAATATTTGCGCCTGGAACTTCTTGAGGAAAATCCCGTATCAGTGACATCGATAATCACACGGCCATTTCATATCGAAGACGTCTTGGAGCTCATGCCACATAACAATCATTAGCCGCAACACACGTTCCAGGGTCCTACGCGAGTGCGGTAAAACATAACATCCACACCCTGTATGCTTGCTCTTGACTGCTCGATCTCTCCCGCTCTCAAGTCGGAACCCTCTGATATACGTACGTACTTTAAGCTCTGAACACATCCTCCGTCGACTAGCAAGTGGCAATGGACGTCGAAGAGATCCAGCTCCAGCCATTCCCCAGGACGGAGGATGCGGAAGTTACAGTAACGGCAGTCGACAGCGCCGCCAACGGCCTTAGAAACATCCATATTGATGAGGACGATCAAAATGAACAAGCTTTGAATGCGTTGCGGCAGGGTATGTCATCGCATGCTCACGATACTGTTCGCACGCATTCTTATCTTAACGTCCTTCTAGTTGAGTTCTACTTCTCCGACTCCAACCTCCCGTATGACCGGTGAGTCGAACACATTATCATCTGAATTTAGAGTCTCAGAACATTTTCAGGTTCATGTGGACTTTGCATACCGTCAATGCCGATCGCTGGGTACCCATTGCAACCATTGCAACCTTCAAGCGCATGCGTGAATACCAGCTGCTGGGATCCCAGTGGCTGATGAACATCCTCCGTCAGAGCTATCACCTGGAGGTGAACGACGAAGGCACGCACATCCGTCGGCGGACCGAAGTCAAACAGAACAGCGATTGGGACCGCAGCATATATGCCGTAAGCACAGCCCCCTCTTTGCTTGAACAAGCATTGATCTTGGCTCCAGAAAGGGTTTGGAGCCGACGTGGACGGCCTGCAGCGGGAGCTCGAGAGGTTTTTTAATCGCTATGGCCGGACGAATGCAGTGCGCATGCGAAGGGAGCAGCAGACGAAAGCGTTCAAGGTCGGTGTATGATGCAGAGTCAAATCTGCCCTCGCTGATCAGTCTGTAGGGTTCCGTCTTTGTAGAGTTTACTGATTCTCTCTCAGCGGAGAGATTTCTCAACGCGGACCCGAAGCCATCGTGGAACGGGCAGGACCTCATTATCATGACAAAGTACGTCTACTGCCCCGTCCGGTCTATGATCTGTTCTGACATGGGCACCATTCAGGGAGGCATACTGCAGTATGAAGGTCCAAGAAAAGGGCTTAATAGGAAAGGCAGCTATCATGCGCAGGAATCTTGTTAGAGACCCCACGAACAAGAAAGGGTTCAATGCGTTCCAAACAGTGAAAGCCACCGACAAGGAGGATGCCACGGCGTCCAAACGCCAGCCCTATCCGCCAATCAGGAGTCAGCGCGTGGGCGTCGAGCAACAAGGTGCGATTCGAAAGTCCAAAAATCAACCACAAGTGCGTAAGACCGTGAATCGCGGCAGCAGGCGCTTGGGACGTACCATTTACGCTGTGCGAACTCCTCCTATGTTTTCCATCCGCCGTACTGATTTCATTATAGAAGGGATTCGGAGAGGAGGCCGACGGTATGCAAATGGCGCTAGAAACGTTCTTCAATCAGTTTGGTAAGACGATCGTGGTTGAAATGAGAAGGAATAGGAAGACGAAGAAATTCAAGGTCAGAATGAAAGGTTGCATTCCTCATGATATGATCTGAGAGATCGACAGGGCTCCGTGTTCGTCGAGTTCACCGAGCATAGATTTGTGCAGCTGTTCCTTCATGCGAATCCTGCACCCACCTGGGACAACCAGCCGCTTTTGACGATGTCGAAGTATGTCGTTCTTGTATTCGCACTCTCATTCCCGTTGTAATGCTTCGGTCACAGGTCCGCCTATATCAAAATGAAGATCAGGGAAAGGAAGGAAGCCCTCCGACAACAAGGTGTGATCGTTACCTGCCGCGACGAGGCCACGATGGAGACGGAGGAGACTCCGGCTGCGCAAGGGATTGACAATGGCGATGAGGCAAAGATGAACGTGGATGTCGGCGCAAAGACTAAGAGGAAGAACCACCACCAGCGGAAGGGTACTCGTGCTAACCTCAAGGTTCGTACTCTTATGAATGGCAGGATGCAAGGTACTGTATCATGTTAACACAGGAGACGAAACTCAAAGAGCCGCCTCGATCCTTTCTATTTTTGGGTCAGAATGTACCTATTCAGTTCGGAGAAAATGGTGTCTGGGTCAAGGAGGAAGAAGTCCCGTCGTTGAAAGGAACGTCGATGATGTTCGAGGGCAGCGATGAGGCCTTGAACTGGTCGGATGTCAAAGTCAGTCTTGTTCTGCTTCACGCTTCTGATGGCTGACAGACGATGTAGATCGGAAAGGACCCTCAGCTACGCCTGCAGCTTCGAAGGCGCCTTCCGCCCTTTGTCCACTACCGTAGGGAAGCTGGATCAGGACTGGTTGATTTCAAATTGGTCCTGACAGAAGATGATATTGCATACATCAAGAAACATGTCAGGACAGTTAACGGCAAAGAGCTATCGTGGAAAAGGCTTGACGGTATGCCTGTTTGCTTATAACATCGTGCCATGTGCTCATTGGACGTTTGGGGACAGAACAATCGGAGAGACAATTGCAGCTGGCCCGGGCACTTGCCAATGCGCGAGGAGCAATGGATTTCTACCACCGCAAGTGCGAAGCCGCCGCTCGACTGCGCGAACAGAAAGGTGGTGTAGACGCGATGCAGATTGACAACGTTCCTCCCATTTCGGCTCCAGTGGTGCCTGATATCATTCCTGCTGCGTCCAGCAAATGCGGCGAAAAGCGAAAGCGCATGGAGGAGTATGATGATATCGCTGGTGCGGTGGAGCCGGATTACGAAGTTAGGATCGTCCGTGGCGTGAAGAGGATGAAGATACAAAGCAAGTGAGGACAGGAATGGAGTCGTGATCTGAGCCAATGGTGGGCTTGGACCACTCATGTGTGCGGCACAATTTTGTTGATCATGTAAGACAAATGAGCACGCTGTGATACGGCGCTCACTTTCATTCTGCCATGTGTCGATAGCTCGATTGTATGTTCCATTAGGTCACTGGAATAATCATGACGGGACGTTCTAGTATCGCCATGACTATGACGTGTTTGCACAAGTCCACAAGAAGTCTGCCAATGCGCCAACAAAGTTTACGCCACCTTGATTCAAATATGAGCCTGGCAACGAAGGTACGGCATTGTTGCTGACCTGCTTGTGGCTTGGAATAGTGAGTAAACATTCTGTGCTCGAGAGCTGGTTTTTTAGGCCTGAGCGCTGAGCAGATGGGGTTGGTCTGGGCATACGAACGCCAGCCACAGACGCGTCACGACGCGTGTCAAATTCAGCCACAAGCGCGTCGTGCGATCGGAAACTTTGTTTGATCCAAGTTCCCTCTGTGTTTCATTCTCGTCGTTGTGGAATATAGCATGTAAAATAAATAAAAAACAAATCATTTACACCTAGAGATGGTACTGCCAACCTTTTGCTGCTACTAGTCTGGTCGCACGCATTCGCGCAGAAAAACCGCAGAAGACAAACCTGAGGTGTATGTGTAATTTGATCTGCAAGCTTTTGCAGCATCGCTCTCTTATCAGCCAGTCGAGACACATCAAGATGGAACCGAAATCTACACCGAGGATAGGATGACATTCTGCTCGAGTAGAATGTCTTCAAAACAGATATTCCTCATTTGGTGCTAGGCTCGTTCTTTCTGATATAGCTCTTGTTATGGACATAACAAGTTTACAAGTGCTGCAGACTGTCACGTTGTCTGCGAATCCTTTGTCCTCAATACTTGCGAAGGATCTGATGCAGTTCTCCTCGGCAATGTGCATCGGCAACTTTCGACAATCATGTATTGGATAGTATTGCTCCGGCGACCTGGTCAGAAGTGACAGAACAATCTTATTAGCCTTCCAGGGTCCTTTCGATCGAGAAAAGTAGCAATATTAGTGGCACCTACGCTACTACAAACAGCCTCGTGATCACATGTTTCACATTCCCTGCGACCATCCTTCGGCCACTCGACTGTCTTGCTCTCGAGCCAGTGGTCACGTCTTTCATGAACCTCTATATACACATTCGTTCTACTAGCAATTCCGGATGTGTATTGGAGAGATTTTTGTCAGGTCAACCTCCAGGAGGAACAACGCTGTAGCTAAGCCACCATCGAAATGCGAAACCTTCATCACCCGAGATGCAAATCAATTTCGATCGCGCAGACCAACACACCGTTTGCAGCAATCAGTACTAGGCCTTGAATGCGATGCAGCAGGGTTTATCGTTGCCTCCTTCGTTACGCGTCGTTCCCATAGTCAGCCTGACCTCCTGTCAATTATCATCTGAAAGTGAACGAGCAAAGCGCGCATGTCTGCCGGTGGATGCTCATCGACCAGCCTGTGTCGGCTCTACCTATGTGTGGCATGTGCCCGCGGCAGGAACTTTCAAGGTCTTGAATAAAGGTGCTATCTGAAGTACTCGCAACACGAGCCGTCTGACTCTTGTCCGTAGTGTTCCGGACCGGTATTATTTACGCTGCTGCACCTCTCATGACTATTTATAGATTACGTTGCATTCACAGGTCTTGTCATCGTTGTTGCTATGTTCAATAACGACAGAATCGCCATAGCATCATGGTAGCTGCGCAATACTAACCGGTATACAAGATCAGCTCGTGGTCCAGCTAAGTAGTGAACGTAGTATAAGTTCACGTCTTGCCGCCCGTTGATGAATACAGGTATTCAGCCGAGAGCCGTGTCAACTTGATCTGTATCCATTCATTGGATAACAAGTAATTCAACAGATTATACCACGTGTACACATTCCCGCCGGAAATGTGTAAAGCGCGCGTCTGATTCTATATTATTCCACGACCAGTGCCCCTGCAGTAGTATATAAAAACCTACTGTGCTGATTGCTGCGGACATCTCGGTACGTCTAGCCCTTCCTCTCCCCTATCCGCTGTAGACCGCCATGGCAGGCAAACGAAATGAACTGTCTCCCAATTCATCTTTCGGTTCTGACAAGCATACGCAGAAGGCCATTTAATTGAACGGTGACCAAGACATGCCACAAATGAAATCGTTGCAAATTTTGCCTGACTTTCTGGACCAAGCGGCTCACGACGAGATGGACCAAGAAGTCTGGAAACTTCTGCAAAGACGTTTTAGAGCCAAAGATAATGCTGATGTGGTTGAGCAGCTATCCAGTGTAAATGCGGACGATCTGCTTGATAAGCAAGAAATCTTTGGCGCCGTGCTGTATGCCATCCTCCTTCCTCTGAGCTACCGCGGCAGCAAAATTCAAAAGAAGTATATGAAGCTGTCATCTTGCGAAGATGTATTCTCGGGACCTCGTGCCGACAAAGTTCTGCAGCTGATGAAAATTTGTGCTAAGAAAGGCACTTTTGAGAGCATCCGCAACTTCAGTACGTCCTATCATTCGAAATGCATGTGTCAAGTGTATAGGATCCATACTCCACAGGCCTATTCAGAAGAGTCATTAGTACTGAGGAAATCATCTCAGAGATGTCTCAACGTAAGTCAATTCGACCATTATACATGGCAATGCGCCTGATGTGACTGACAGCGCATAATTTACAGAGCAAGGCGAGCATAGTCGGATTCCCAGTCAGACATTGTTGGTTCACTCATTCACGCGATATGTTCAGCGACGATATCGGCATGGTCACGAAACTTCTATGGTACCGCTCATCAGACACTGTACAGCAGCATCGAGAGGATGAACTCTTCTCGCGTCCCGGAGCAATTGTACTCCAACTATATTTCTATTGTCCAAAGCTCTGGTACCGGAAAATCACGCACGGTCGACGAAATGGCTCGCTTGGTGTTCACATTTCCCTTCAATCTTCGTGCGGAAGGCTACCCAGGTACGCTATCAATCTCAACAGCCTTTTGAAAGGTTAGGTTCACTGTGCTCCCATTTGATACAGGTTATGCATATCCCGCTGCAGATTCCGCAATCCGTGACTTTCTGCTAGAACAGGGTTCCGAGAGGAACTATGATTCTATAGTAGCTGCTTATCTAGTCTTCTTCCAGCACATGTTCATATTGACTGCGCAAAGGCTGCCTACTGTTGGGAACTCTATCGAAGACCAGACGGTGCGAAGTCGAAGTAATGCACATGAACTAGCCGAAGAATGGAGGACGCACCTTGCAAAAGGTGATACGAGAAAGATATTCTATTCGCAAATGGTATCTGTAAGTGATTTCACCAGATGTTTCGTTTTCTTGGTTCATGCCATCCATCTGCAGGCTCTCAGACGTTTGCCATCAGTGATGGAATTGAAACAGAACGAAGGTGTCATCAAGCTCAATTCATACATTCAGTCTGCGGTCGATGCGGGTCACACACTGTTGGCTACCATTGACTCCCTTGTGAATGATAAGCCTGCCGACTCTATACGTCTGGTCATGTACTTCGACGATGCCCATTCACTGACGCAGCACAGCATTAGTGGAATAGCCCCTAGTCCCATTCATTATCACGCTCTATGCAAGGCTATCGACCAACTAGCCGCCCTCCCTCTTTTCGTTGTGATGCTGTCATCGACATTACAACTTCGCGGACCATCTCCTCCGAATATGTTCTATCCCTCAACGCGAGGTGGAAATCAGGGTGATCCCCAATCACCGATCACCGAAATGCCCTTTGACCTTCTCTACAACAACGAGCCTTTGGTTCCTCCAGAAGGAGTAACGCTGATGGAGGCTTGCGAACTAACATTTATCTGCCGATTCGGTCGTCCACTGTATGTCTTTCTCACTTCCACGTACTGTGACGATATCTAAGACAGTTGCCTGAATCAGTTGGAGAGCGTTGTTCATGTCTGGAGATCGTGCTGTCCGAGTTACCATGGTGGAAACAGCGTTATCAAAACTCACTGGATACCACCCCAATGGGACTTACAACCACGCCCATCTTGCGGCTTTGAGCACTCGATTGCTTCTGGAATTTGAGCCTGCTCGCGAGCTATCCCGCACAGTGGAGGCGGAACTAGTTGACAACAATCTTCGGATTGCCTATAGCGTTCCAAAGCGTCGTGGATATCCCCGATCAGGGTATCCATCAGAACCGATCCTTGCCGAGGCTGCTGCACGCTTGTTAAATCGGAGCGAATTCTCGGTTCCTGCTAACTTGGCACCATACGTCCGGAGCGGATTAATCAAGAAAGGCAAAAAAGGCGAACTTGTTATGCGCTTGCTGCTGCTCGAAGCGTTTGACAAGGCAACAAGGAAGAAGTTTGGAAATAGCGAGGACCCAGAGCACCTGACGTTCGACCATCCCATCCTAGTCATCGACTTCCTACAAGCGCTCTTCGGTGAGAAGAATATGAAAGCAGTCTTGGACAAGGACGCACAGAACCGTGCGAACTGGAGAACGTTCAGGCATGCGTTCGGAAATGCATACGTTCACTTCACACATTTCGGAAAGTCGGAAGACGAGTCCGTCTCGAATCAATTTGGCGCTTGGGCGGCCGTGATGCGTGGAATGGCTATGCAGTGCTTCACAGATCAAAATGTCATCGACTGCATCGTACCGGTAGTTTTCGGCCTTGACAAGAAGATAACGCCAGGTAGAATGAGCGCGATCCTCGTCCAAGTGAAGAACAGAGTACCTCCCGGGAACCTAGCTCTGGACGAAAAGAGCCTAGATGACGGTCATGGTTTCTTTCGGCGAGACAGTACCAAAACATTGACCGACAATCGCCCTTACATCACGATTGTGATGCAATTTGGCGCGGGGACCGCTGCATCCGAGAGGGCACTGCCTACAGCAGAGGTCCATCAACTGAACACATCTTTTTATCCTGTGGAGTCGACGGTCAGTTGCAGTACTTACAAAGAGGCTGAGGCGCGATTGGCGACTTTATACGATCCTGACGAGGACTTGCTACCCCTGGAAGGACAACAAGAAGAGGAGACGGATCTCCCTCACCCACGATACGAGATCGTCGCCGGTGACTGTAATCCCACAACGTTCGAAGCTATGCTCGATCATAGAGGCAATCAGCAAATCACGACGAATTTGTATGCGTACTTGTTGGGCAGCAGTGATGTCTACGACGAGCATCCGAGACAGGAAGAGGAAAATCTCGCAGCTCTGCGCAACTTGAAACCGGGTTGGAGCGTCGGAGATGACTACTACGACTGGACAGGTAATGAGTTCCTGTGTGAAGGAGCACCCGGACGAAGGAGACAAGTAAAGTCAAATGGCTCGGAGGGCGCAATCCGGGCACCAACCGCCAGCGCAACATCCGAAGACGTTGCTATGGGTAGTTAAGAGTCCGATTCGAATGAGCGCACCGAGCTGAGCGATTGAGAGTTGTGGATCAGCCTGGACAAAACATACCGTTGTGCTCTGTCGAGGATGCCCTCTATCGATCCATGTCAATTGCCAATGTATGCGTCTATGTGATGCTTGAAGGGACGTTCTAAACCCAGATAATCAATGTTACAGTGCGGCAAGGATATGCATACCATTTCTCTCGCGGTCATCTAACGAATCTCGCCTATGTTGTCATATGTCGACGCTGTGTCATGTTCAACCTAACGGAGATGCTTCAAGATAACTATTTAGCAAAGTGGACGACCCTACTGCAACTTACGCACATAGGACTGGAAGCTGATTATTTGCTTTCCTATAAATTGTTCGCCCATCACGTTCTTTATCGCGCATACATTTCTATCTTCGAGATCCGCTGCTGATACAGTAGTTCTGTAGAGTACCGGCCAGTAGGTCCCCAATGTTCATACCGATTAAGGCCGCATGAGGGATATGAGCGAATACAGGTTATGTCTTCGCCTCGCGCCATCTTTGAGGTAGCATTTGAGGGCTATTATAGCCATGTCAAACACATCTCCTTTGCCTTCGCAAATAATATTCTTGCGCATCTCGCTTAATTACATACTTCCACCAGCTCAAACTCGGGTCAAACCATTCCAATAGATATGATGGACTCACGTTGAACACTGGAAAGAGACTTTCATCCACGTACGCATCTGCGAATCATCTTGGTATCTCGGAGCTTAGCACCGCGACCATCCAGTAGCACGACAAATCGGCTTCTTGCCGATGCCAACGTACTATTCCTATTCAAATGAAGGAGTGATCTGATTGGGGGAAGTGCCTTTATCCCGAGTCTGCTTGAGCACCAGAGATATGTATCTCCGTCGCAATCCGCAGAAAGAGACAGAACGAGATGTCGTTCTCCCGCTCATTCTGTCTCGACATGGCATGCAGGATAATGCGCACAGTAAACACACTTCATAGGCCGCAGACGCAAACTGTCGCGCAATAACAGTCGTAATATTGGCGGAGACGACACCGCACAGCAGCAACATGGTCGCACCTTCAGGCCAACTTCGCGAAGACAGTGCGAGATACCGATTCGGAGAGAGTGTATGAACATTGAGAGTGCCGGACGTCTTCTCCTGTCCAAACTTCAAAGATACATTGAGCTGCAGATTGCGGAGTTCTACCGACGTTTGTTGACGGTAGCAGGTATTCTGGAGGCCCAGAACATCCGAATCGCATGAAACGGGCGACAGCAGCGTGAGAGAGGTTGCATCGCGGGAGTAGCATGCATGTATTGTAGGCAGGTCCAGCGATAGCACAGCGGCTCCTGAGAATTTGGGTCCGACGCAAGCTATATGATCTTCATCGTCCACGACAAATCACTGAAATAGGACAGCGTGCAGGGAATGATCACTGGCGCGGACGACGCGCTCTCCAGTACTCCATAAGCTCCTCGCCGACCTAGTCCGGCGTCCTGGACATCCGACCTGCACGGCCTGCACCCTAATGGCCATTGCGGCACCGCGTTTTATCGGGCATAGTACGCTCACCGCGCAGATTCCTGTATGTCGATGAGCACGACATATTGGACGATGATCCCTTTCAGCTAAGTATGGGTATTAGCTAATTATTAACGCCCGTGAGTAGAATTTGAACAGTTCAACGCTGCATGTTCAAACAGCAAGAATAGAATATTGTGTGTCATACCTTTTTCTGCGGAGAAATACGTCGCTCTTCAGTGGCACTGTGCGGTACCACTTGAGTATGTTGACTTTCCCGGCCAGCCCACTGCGCGGCCAGGAGTTCGGGAGTCGCCCACTCTCTAGAAGATGGCTCCATGGGGCCAAACCGATGGCCCGTCCCATTGTAGCCGCGCCCTATTATATACACGCGCTACTACTTTCCCATGCCGGTGGCGCAGGTCGCACCAGGGCCTCTCGCATCCGCGCTCTGTGCCCAGATTCCAACAGAGTAAATCCTGAGTTGGTTAGAGTCACGAGGAGAAGTCTCTTTGAGCATAGCGCACATCAAGTGCAGCGGTAGCGAAATCGTTGCAGAATCTCTGAAAATGCAGCATGAGATGCGTATTTAAGTCATCCATTAGGCGAGAAGGGCGCTAGCAGTAAAGATGGAGATGGAAAGAGCCAAGAACGGACAAGCACCGTTCAGAGGAGTGACCGACGTGATCATGTTGTGACTGTCGTGACCAGACGCGTCAGTGACGCGTCCTATCAGGTCTCGTCACGCAGTTACTGTCACTTGAGGATGTCGGAGAGCCTAGAGGATTGGCTGCAACTCGGAGGCGGTCATGTCACGGCGTGGGTGTTGAAAATAAAGCGGTACGCATCTTTTGTCCATCGGACATCTGAATAGTGACCCTATCCAAAACCCATGTACTGGGACGAATGAATTATGTAGATTCCATGATGCAGTTCTCACAACGTGAGCGACAGCAACCTCGCCGCGATATCGATAACGCTTCAGCTGACGGAGCCTGATGGGGCGTGGATCAGGCGACTGGCGATATGTTGCGCATGCAACCCAGAAGCTTTGATGGTAGGACTGTGGCCGCATTCCTGCCATAGATGCGAACGGAGTTGGAACTATCTCCGCTGCGAGAAAGGCTCCCAAGGGCTCGGACGCAAACAATAAGGACGGTGGTTATAGAACTCGTGGAGGTGGTGCGCAACGTCTGTCGGAAGTGCACATACTCAAAGGTAGTTATGTCTAACGGAGGTGCGTATTATAAAATATTCCAATGCGGTGAATCATCATAACATACCATGAATATGCAGCATGCTAGAGAATGAGCCTAATTCGTCTTACACACGTCGCGAGATGCAATCAGTGAGAATTCACCGTGTTTTACCTTCCTGACAACTTCACTGACGGATCTGCTATGCTTTGTTTTGACCCAAGCTATCAGGACGCTGGCAATGCAATCTGGCATTGAGGAGTTGAATACAGTACAGTCTGAGATAAGTCGAGGTGTCGCATCGACACCATTGAGATCTTGAGAAGCGATCCTAATCAGGTTCACACGAGATAGAAGGTGCCCTGCATTGCCGCCTTCGCAGCGATGCTAGCTTCTTACGGAGTAATGTCCATAATCGATGATTTTATCTCCGACACCTCACTCGTTCACTTTCGCTCTGTATGCAGACGAAGAATTAACATTGCACATTGGGCGTCCGCAGTTCTGAGAAGCCCTTCCGGTATGACTTAACATAGTTCATCGTGCTCTGCCGTTCTCACCGACTCGGTCCCTACGGGCCAGATTACGAAGCCACTATCGCGTACGCAACCAGCGTGATAGGTAAGCGCGCTATTGGCACCGTCATTAAAGTTCATGCTGACTAAGTAATGAATGGTCCTGGATCTTTGCGGGTACAGGATTTGGACCCTGCCGCTAGAATCGCAGTGCTGCTTGTGGAAAAGCACGATGTGTTGACTGCTATCTAATGCAGCGACGTCGTTTTCTCCTCCCGACCCTCGTCAAACCCTTGTTGCGGTCCTCATGGGTCTCTCTATTGAGCTCTTCATTGCAAGCTCCCTGGCGTTTTCCGTTGTCCTGCTGCTCTTGCAGAGGAATGTGCGATGGTATGGGCTCCATCTACCTCCTGGACCACGGCCTATTCCAATCATCGGGAATGCACATCAAATGCCGGTTAAATACACTCAGAAAGGTCTTTCTGCTTGGTCGTCGCTCTATGGTAGGCAGAAGCAACATACACCATCTATTAACACTGACCCATTGCCCTTAGGAGACGTCATCTATGCCGAACTCTTTGGATCGTCTATGATAATCTTGAACTCGATGCAGGCAGCGAAGGCGCTGCTGGATCATAGGAGCGCCAAATACTCTGATCGACCCAGGTTCACGCTGCTTAGAGAATTGTCTGTAGTCCCTACAGAATGTGTTTGACGTTCTGACACCTTAGTTTGATAGGCTTGGGTGGAAGCGAATCTCGGCCTTCTTACCGTACGATAAGCAATGGCGTCAGCACAGACAATGGATACAGGCCGCTTACAACGATGCGAAAGTGCTCACGAGCTATCGTAGCATGCAGCAGCGTGAGACGTATTTCTTGCTATCGGAGCTGTGTAGCAGCCCTTCGCAATTCGAGTTACACTTCAAACGGTCTGGCGTTCATGACTAGTGTGATGATCCTTGTCTCACTAGCGTGATGTTGCAGTTTCGCTGGCGCATTGGTCTTGGAAACAGCGTACGGGTACCGCTTGAGATCACGGGATGACAGAGCTCTGTGTGACCTGATCGAAGTCACCGAAGAAACCAGTGAGACTGGAACGACCGCAGCGGCACTTGTCGACCTCTTTCCGTTCCGTAAGCCTTCCCAAGGTAGTTCCAACTCAACGCTGATCGAACGTCTTCAGTGAAACACATCCCGATATGGATGCCCGGGGCGGGATTCAAGCGCAAGGCACTGCATTCTAGGCGGCTGATCCTTAAAGTGACGAACGAGCCGTTCGAGAGAGTCAAACGCGAACTGGTCAGGCATCTTAGTCACATCGTGGAAGGAGCACTGACACAGGCGTACAGGCTGCGGGAGTTGCACGTCAATCATTCGTTGCATCTCTTCTCCAAGATCCGGACCGAGCAAAATGGCCGGAAGATCATGAAGAAGATATCAAAGGCGCGGCGGCTGTTCTTTATGCAGGTTCGTCAAGTAGCTGCTTGCTTGGCATGAAAACGGTCACTGACCATTCATTGGTTCTCACTCAGCTGGAATTGACACGGTAATTTGAGGTCACGCTTGCGTTTTGAAAGCCGATTGATTCATCTCTAGACAGCTATTGTTCTTTCAACCTTCCTGCTTGCCATGGTCATCCACCCGGAGATATATAGGAAGGCGCAAGAAGAGATCGATCGTCTGGTCGGGAGTCAGCGCTTGCCAGAATTTGAAGACCGCGACTCACTCCCATTCCTTGAGTGTATTCTCAAGGAGGTGTATCGGTATGCATGCCGTTAAAGATGTGTATGTTTGATTTTCATGCCAAGTTGCCTTGCAACAGATGGAACCCGCCTCTGCCTTTGGGTAAGTTGACCAGGCCACTCATGTTTTGCGTTGACCAACAATCTACAAAGGAATAACTCATAAGTTGATGGCCGATGACGAATATCGAGGCTACCACTTCCCCGGCGGCTCCATGGTGATTGGTAACATATGGTCAGTACATCTACTGTTCACACGATGTCTGCTGGATGCCCACAGCCTATGTGCCATCCACAGGGCCATACTGCACGACGAGTGTCTCTACCCGAAGCCAGATACTTTCAACCCACAGCGTTTCGCTGACCTGGATTCCGAGGCTGCAGACCTCGCCGATCCGCGCAAGGCCGTCTTCGGCTTTGGTCGACGGTAGATTGTAGTTCGGCTTCTACACAGCAGCCCATTGTTAATCTCCTTGCGTTCTTAGAATCTGCCCCGGCCGCCGATTCGCGGATGCCAGCATTTGGCTGGCCATCGCTAGCATCGTGGCAACTTTGGATATCTCAAGGGCCCGCGATGCGAGCGGTAAGGAGATTGTCCCTACCGCCTCTTTTGTGTCGGGAATCGCGAGGTAAGGACGTATTCATGATTTATGGTGGGGCTGAACTCATTATCGAGTCATACAGTCCACCCATGGAGTTCACTTGCGAAATCCGCCCTCGCTCAGAGGAGGTCTCCGCGCTGATCGGAGAGCTGGCCTTGGACGCAACTGCGACAGACGGCCCGTTAGGCGCTTGAAGATAAGAAGGAGTCCAGGGAAATTGATGATGGAGGTGATCGATGCTCAGATGGACTGTAACGGCGTGAAGTTGAGATGATGGTGAAGGTAGCGAGCCGTATCACAGGCTCCAATTTCTGCGTTCACCTCAATGAGCTCTGCATGCAATCCTCGCTGTTTTTGTTTCCGCGTTAAAGGCTAAAGCAGGTACGGATTCCAAACATTAACGTCGTCGCTACCACCCATTACAAACCTCAGTCACGAGTCAACTTTACCATGAAGGAATTTCTTCTCTACCACGTTAGGGCCATTGAGGGCCGGATCTTTGTATGAAGTGCAATTTTTGATGCATCCGAGAATTGCACGAGTTTGTGCAGGAGGACGTGCACCTCGTTGCTATGTAATTCATCCAAGGCGATATTTGAGGCACAAGAATACTTACAGGACAGGCCGGACCGAAAGGCCAGTCTGCAGGGCGTCGTAAAGCTATTCCATGATGTGGCCATGGTCCATGTGGGCATCGATCTGCTCATATCTGATATGGACGAAACGAAGCACCCTGGGGTTCAGCTGGGGGGAAAAGCGGCTTATTACTCCTCTGCAAGGTATGAACAGGAATAAAAAAAAACACTCATTAGCAAAGACACAAGACATATCTTCTCGTTACAAATACTGCGGAGATGAGGACGTGTTGCTATCGATCTCTGCACCATCCAAGATAGTGCGCGTCGGTGAAGTACAGCTGGTTTATCGTGCATGCAACGAAAAGCCTGCACGTCGCAAGCCAAGTCAGATAATACACAGTACAGTACAAGATGGTTCGACCGGGGACATGGTCCAGCAATACCGGTAATATAGGCGAGAAGAGGACAACAATAGACGGATGAATTGTTAAAGACCCCTCAACCCGGAGACGACAAGTGAGAGCCTGTACGCGTCATCGTCAATGCGCTGTGGCATAGATCAAGAGAGGTGAGACGTACCAGGTGCCCTGGCTTGCAGATGCACTAAAGTACTGTGAACAGACGGACAACGGAGCGGAGGGAGTTCCTATAGTACATTGAAGTAACGTAGAACGGACGTGTAGAAATCAGCTTAACATTAAGTAATCGGAGGTGATTGATAAGAGAATACAGAAAGTAATACAGCACACTGTAGGTCGCAGATATCGGACTGAACGGTATGTAGGATTCAGCGCGAAGACTCCTCATCAGAATCGTACGGTAGAGGCGGGATGGGCGTCATGCGAGCGGGCGCGAGATATAGCGGCTTGACTGGGGCCGGGGACAGCCTGGCTTCTTCGTCCTCATCTGCATCTTCGGGCGGAGGTACGACCAGCACCAGCCGGAACGCATCCTTGCCATTGAGATAGAAACGGAATAATCGCTTCTCCCGGATGAACCCTAGCGATTCATAGAGCGAGAGAGCAGCAGAGTTGTCGAACTCTGTCTCGAGCACCACCTTGCAGGGACGAGTCAAAACGAGCGAAGGGAAGATGAAGGAAAGACGCTTACTTCCTCGACCCCATGCAGCTTCATCTCCTCAATCGACCGGCGTACGAGGGTGCTCGCTGATGGTACAAAACATTTCGTTTTGAGTACGCGGGAATGCAGCCCTTGAGATATGTTACGCACCAATGCCACGTTTCCGCCAATTTCTATGAACACTCAACATAGCAATATACCCCCTGTTGGTCACATCTTTGTGCAGGCTCTGCTTGCATACGATAACGCCTATTGGATCAGACGTCTCATCGGGATAAGCCTGGAGCAATGACCAGTTTCAGTACTTTCGACAACGTATGCCATGCAGCCTCACCAGGAACGACAAGTGTGGCCTACCTGTCTCAATCAATACTCGGTCAGTGATAAGTTGGCAGGAGGACTCACCACTGTCGTAGGAAGTAACGATACGTGTAAATGACATACGGCTCACTCAGTTCGTGCTGGACGAGAGACATGACGTGAGGCAAAGCAGATTCGCCCGTGTACTGTCTGTAGATGATCGTGCCCATGATGGCGGACAACTCGTGCGAAGGGACGACTCAGGCAGACCGGTCTCAACGAGCGCCTAGTACGGAATGCTTTCTGCCACTACAACCTGCCACGATTAGTCCAGTCATTCTTTCTCTATTCCATCTACGCGCGACGATTCTTCCTGTTCTCAGCCCACATGGTCCTCAGCATGGCGAGAAAGTGCTCTCTGACTCGAGGGAGAATTACTGGCTTGTCAGCAAGACCTATTGAAACTATATGACGACGTTGGGCTGCGAAATGATAAATCGAAAAGAACAGCACGAGCTCGAATCAGGTACATGAATTACATGACTGTTAACTGAACACTTTTACTCATACAGGGCTTACCAATAAAGCCTGGCCGACAGCAGTGAATGTTGACTTCGTGCAACTAGCCGTTCTCATTTACTGTTTTCATCTCACAACAGCTAGATGGCTTCGAGTGGTTTGTCGCTCATCTGCTACAACACGTAGCAGCAGAAAGTCCCCAACGCCTCTCCAGAACTCTGTATTGAAGTGTCAGTGATTGGCTTACACCAACGGTGTCGCAATCTCGCCTGCTGCCTGCGCTACATCTTCGAATCTGCTGAGGTGGACGCACACGTTCTTGATCTGTATACGAGAGTCAAGACGTTCGTCTCTGAACGCATGCTTCCAAGCGTCGATGGTTCTTTACGTCAAGGATATCCCAGCAGTTCCTCATCTTGAAAGGCGAGCTTTCGAATGTTCAGACAGCGAGGCGAATGCACGAAGCGATACGTTGAACCGTCTGCCCAGGTACGTGGCGTATCAATGGCCTTAATGCAATGAAATACTGAAGTGTGAGCGACACCCGCTCGCAGCAGCATAGTACACCCACGCGCGTAACGTCGACATGCCAATGGCACTGACGACTGGTTGGGGTTACCTTACAAAGAGTCAAGAATGCAACGAGCTTGCGTACAACGTCCTTGCTCGCGGTGGACGTGACACCGTTTCCGGAACCTCTCTGCCTTCACTATGGCTCCTGCAGTATCATAAGAACACCTTTGGCATGCTGGACTCTTGAACTATTGCCCGCGCTGGCAATAGCCTTCACTCCACCCTTCAATCGGCTCAACCAGACGTCAGTGCATCACAGCCAGGGGCGTTCAGTACACAGTCGATACAAGCACAGCAAGCCGCGCCGTCGGTCCTGAAGCTCGCTTTCACTTCGAGGGGATTTCTACTTGCACAAGGTCTCCGTCGTCCATCGTCCACAGTGGTCAATGATTCCATGATTGCCCCCATCGCCATAGGTGGTTGCGCGTGATCCGGATGCTTGTTTCGATAAATCTCACCTGGCATTCACTTGAAACTAGAGGGATCCATTCTCGAAGCACGGTCTTCGTTCTGCCAGCCCGGTGTTGAAGCGGCAGGCAATGCCAGGCCTAGAGATCTGCAAAACAAGTCGACAAATAGAATCGGTGTACCCAAGATTTGAGACAAGCTCTCACAGTCTGGTAATACTTTGCATGATGCAACGAGCTTGTTCGTGAGTTTTTTCCCGGAACGCTATCTGCAACCCTTCATACGTGGCAGACACACGTTCCTGTGTGGTGCCCCATTTCTAAAGTATGAAATTCACTTGAATTCATTCATGTCGGCAAACCTACGCCAACGTATGAGTCACAACAGGGCGTTGGATGCTTCGGTGTATTACAACAACAGGCAGGAATACAGTACGAATAGCGAAGATGGTTGGTGTACACGCGTCCATCGCGATCGAGTAGTGTAGTAGGAGACGTACAGAAGCCAAGTGCTGAATGGAAAGAACGGCGGTGGCAGGGAAATGTGTCGGGGGCGGAGGCTGAGGAAAGAGGAGAGGATATGAGCTCGGCAGTGAAGTCATGCCTCGTTCTCCATGACCTCTTTCTCGTACTTCTTCTTCATTACGCTCACTGGGTATGTGGTGAGCTGGAGAAATGGAGAGACATGAACATATGCACTTACCCTCACGAGAGATCTGGCCCGAGGATAACCAACCTTCAGGGAATGCATTGACAATCTGTGTTGAAAGTCAGCATAACGTTTCACCACAGACAATTCATATATCGCTTACCCTTTGGTACAGCGTCTTCCTTACACCCTGATCACTCACCACCTGATTTGAACCCTCCAGCGCACTACAAAACAAAAAAGGAACATCAGTCAATGCCCGTCCCGTCGCCGCACATGCTCATAACCCATCACACTCACTTCTTCTCATTCTCGATCCGACAGCACTCATTGCTCAAGCACACAAGCTGCCATATAATCGCCTTCATCGTGTCCGTGAGCCTGTACTTCTTCCCGGGGGCATGCGAGTCCTTCCCCCGGCCCCCCGGGCCATCCTCGTGCTCGAGCCCAGTCTCGTCTCCGGCCTCATCCACCGAGCCGCGCTGAGCCAGCGCGGACACGCTCATCCGCGGCGTCGGCTGCGAGTCGGACGCGACGGGTGTGCCCTCGACAGAGGGCGCAGCGCTGGGCGACCCCTCCGCGCCCCCTGTCTCGGTCTCTGCTGCTAACTTGGCGCGCTCCTGGCGTTTCTCTGTAGATTGGTGTGGTGAGAGACGCTGTAGAAGGTGGAATATAGAGACGTACCCCATTGTCGAACATTCTTCTCCCACTCTTCTTTCGCCTTGGGGAAGCCTTCGTCCGCGAGCACCTTGAGCTCCTTCAAGAGCGTGTTCTGTCGCTCCATGAGGAGATTTGTGTGCTCGCGCCATATTGTCCGTTTGATAAGTTTCTGCGCCCAGGGATGGCATCAGCATGAATTAACGTGTACAGAATGTAGGACACGGACCGTCATGGTGAACTTATTATATGGAAAGAGCCGAGGCATGATATTGAAGAAGTTATCGTCGTACTCGCCCAGGATGACCGCCTTCAGAGAGATTTGGGCGAGCATGGGTTTAAGTGATGGCGGGAATTTCCCCTTTACTTCCCAGTTCTCTGCAAAGAGGTATGAGCACGCTTGTTGGACGAGCGCGACCACACGGGAAACGCACCTTTGGCAATCGCCGCCTTCATCGCAACAAACATCTCCTCCAGCTCGGGGTGGAACGGTTGCTGTGGAAGATCATAGAGATCAGCGACATGAACGATGGAACAACATGCAGACGTACGATCTCGACGGTCTTCCGCCTCTTCTTCGAACTACCCTCTGACGGAGTGCTCAGCGTATTTGTGAACGAGCTGATCTCTGCGACCAGCTTACGCTTCGAGCCGGAGCGCTCCTCTTCCGTATCCGACAAGAGCGCTATAGGCTCCTCCCGTGTGCCGTGCTCCTTCTTCTTCGGTGAGGATACTTTGGAGGTGCTTGGCTGTGACGGGATCGACAGTGGGCCTGCAAGGGATGGAGGTAGAGGCCCGGAAGACAGTGCAGCAGTGACGGAGGCAGCAGGGGCGAGAATGTTCAACTTCTTGGACTTTGGCTTCTTAGTTGGCGTCCTGAAGACAGAGCATCAGTACGTGCGAGGAGTGCTGGCGGTGGTCTGTACGTACTTATTCAGCAGCGCAACTTGCCCGCTTGATACGTAGAAGCCCTTCTGTTTCGTCTGCGCAAAGAACTTGCGCTCATCTTGAGCCAGCTCAGAGTCATCGATGAAGGGGTCGGTGGTGTCGTAGTACTCAGATGAGAGGTTCTTCCTCTGCAGCAGAAAGTCAGCACATACTACGAGTGCTACGCTACGCAAAGACTTTCACCTTTCTCCGCTTCCTTTTCTCAGATTTGCCATCGCCCTCATCGTCGCCCTCGCTGTGGCTATCATCACTGATATCTCCCTTGAGAACAATTACAGGTGTCGGTGGGCGCTGGCCTGCGACATTAGAGAGCGAGGCAATGTCGACCTCATAATCTTCCGGACCACCAAGCGGTATATCTAAACGAATTGTTTGCAAGGGTGGGCGGATAGGGAGAGCAGGAGGAGCAGGCGAGGGAGAGCGAGGGAGAGTGGGCCTGGTGGACTTCGGTTTGGCGCCGGTCGTGGTAGACACGGGTTTGCCAGGTGCGGTGACGCTCGAGGGTGGTTTTGCCTTCGTCTCCTTCGCAACCACATTCTCCTCAACTTTGACGGCCGCTTCGATGCTCTGAGGAGTACGAGAGCCGCTAACGGTGGATTTGATGGGGACGAGGGAGTCGGGGGAGGACTCGACATCATCGATAGCGATGGGGCTCTGACGAGTCGACGATGACGACCGCGATGACGCCGACGGCGGGTACACCATATTCAAAGCCTGTATTTCCTCGCCCTCACTGGCCATGATGTGCAGTATGGAACGAAGAGAAGGGTTTTAAAAGGAGCAATTAGAGAGGGAAAAATGGAGGAAGTTGCCTAATAAGGCAGATATCTGAGGGAGGAGGAGGCGGAAGAGAGGAGGCGGGGGCGGTGGGGACGGGGGCCATATATTCTTGTTTCGGTTCGCCGGTTTACGATTTGCCATTTGACCTAATGCGAGTCTTTCGGCGCGGCCTTTGCTCGCTCCCCGCGTCGTGATTGGTCCGGCGTTTTCCATCTACGACGCCTCCGCATCTTCCTCCTCTCTTTCCTCCTTACTCTCGTCCGCTCTTCCGTCCATCATTTTGAGTCGAAAAATTCTTTCCTTTGTCGCTGACGCTGAAATGGTGACTGCGGTGGAACATGTCACGGAAATAAGAATCGGAACGCTGCAGAATGCCGTAATCTCCGACTCGGACGTCGATCGCTCTGTGCTCTCACGTTTATACTCTGCATTCTATTCGGACTGTGCTGCTCAATGTGCCGTCGCTGGCCACTGTATTTTGTAACACCTGCTCGAGCATTCCTCTCTGAGCATGACATGGATTGTGAAGAGTACAGCACGCAGGCGGATATCACACCCGGCGCATGCATCAAATTCCTGATACATCAGCCAGAGCTTCTGCGCTTCTGCCGCTCGTCCTTAGGGATCACCGGTGAGCTACATGCTCGCTCAGCTTATCTTTGATCTGCAACAGGCTCCATGACGTTGAGACTTCCAATCTTCAACCGTAAGCTCCATTCTGAAACTCCTGCATCATGGTCTGAGAATTTGGATCCTTTTCGCCAGTACCAGCCCCATCTCACTTGCGAACGTGATCTTCCCTGGATCCCTCCGGTCATTGATAAGATACCTACGTGGACACAATTATTACAAAAGCCTTCCTGCCAGCCATTACGTCTTGTCATCCTTATTTCTTCCTGCATTATCTGGCGGTCACCGATCTAGACTTTCACCGAATGTACTGTCTTAATTCGATTGAGAACGTAATTCTTCTTCTCAATCGTAAATTGCAGTGGGCCTATGTTCCCACCCCGGTCCAAACCGCTCGGACCCGAACTGGAAGACGTTGTGGCCTCGATCACGTGATCAACGCATCCTTGTGACAGGATCACGAACCGTGGTGTGGCCACGTGTATGGACGATCGCTTAGGCGACGAGAGAAACGGACTATCCTGCGGTTCTTGGATGTACCACAATTGCGGATGGATGTCTTCGAGAAGTCTTGTCGAATGCACAATCTGTGCAGACTCGTGACAACTCAATGAGTCAAGTCACTCAGTTGTTGTATGTTCTCGGACGTTCCGGTTACATTTTACTAAAAAAAAATGATGGCTGCAGATTGTACTGGGACGTTACGGTTTGATGACCTACGACGAGATTGTGAACATGAAGGCATAATTACAGATCTCTTTATGCATACAGCGACCGCTGCCTTCAAGCCCTGACAAGTAACTGAGATCAATATATCAAAACAAATGTCCTAGGAATGGGAAAACAGCAATCGCAGCCGGCAATCGGTCCGCTACAGCGCTGCCAGTGACTCATCGAACACATGCAATAGTGCGTCCTCCGAGTTATCCCTTTATCACTGGACCAGTTATAATCGCACCGCCACGGCGTTTTAACAGAGGTCGCATGTCTCGGATGCAGCACCAACACGCCTAGGCACGCCGTCTAATCCTTTTGGTACGTGCTCCTCAACATATCGTACCGCGTACCTGACTTATTGACACCCTGGCCCATCGAAACGAAACCGCTCGGAAGGAGTTCGAGTACGGCGCGGCCGTGCTCGTCATCGTTGACGTGCTGCAGTATCTCCGCGAGGGTGCCACAGAATGTGCTCGTAGGATCTGTTCGGCGGCATCACGCGCTTTGTGTCGTGCCGTGTCGAGTCATTATCAGACTGCATGGCTTGCGGGGACCCACAGCCGCTCATTTTATACGGATGCATCTCACCTACTGAAATGGTCTGACTCATGTTTGAACTGGTGGAGGCTCTGCGAAGGCCAGCTGAAAGGTGACATTTTTGATGTCATGCAACACTCTAAAAATGAGCCAGGGTGTGCCTCCATCTGATTAAACCTTGACCCGCTAGATAACTTTGTTTTCATGTTTTGTCGCTTGGGATAGCAGAAGGTAATGTTCAATTGAGTGCCTTTTGAAATCGCATGTGCAAAGACCTTAACTCGCGTTCAAATCACTCCTCACTTTGCATCTTGCTCCTGACCTCGAAAGCGGCGACATGACGTGCATTCGATCTTAGCCAGTATCTTCCTCTGCAAACTTAAGCGGTATGTGCATCGGAGACCCACAGACTGGACCGTTCTGATACGCTGAAAATTTCTATCAGTGGCGGACCTCGAGGTAAAGTCAGAGCGGTAAGCTAATAATGTTTTCTTATAAGTTATTAACCGACACTGTTCTCCATCACGCCTTTGGAGCTTTCTCGGAGCCATGCGCGTATCTTGTTATGCGCATGAAGTTGCAGGGGGTTTATTTACGTTGTCAAATGGTTTTATGAAGTCCTCAAACACAATGCAGTTTGGATTTATAAGATAACGGGTGCGTTTCATTAGATGTCCAAGAGAGCAATGGTATGTACATTCTTGCCGCGCTGCAGCACTAATTATTTGGATATAGAATGTTCCGTCAAGCATTACATAGATGCATACATTAACAATTGGCATGATTCGATAGAGGGGAGCTCAAACACGGCACACCGGTGTGTCTTCTCCAAGGCGGCCTACAAGTTCTCAGTCACTGAGCTCGGTGCGCTCATTCAATCGGAATTTTGACTACCCATCACGATGTCTTCAGGTGATCCGCCTCCGTCTATGAGCATTGGGACTGCATCCTGCGAGTCATTTGACTTCATTCGTCTGCGTCCGGGCGTTTCCCCGCATAGGAACTTGTTACCGGTCCAGTCGTAGTAGTCATCTCCAACGCTCCATCCCGGTTTCAAGTTGCGCAGAGCCGCGAGATTTTCTTCCTCCTGTCTCGGATGCTCGTCGTAGACACCTGTGCCACCCAACAAGTACGCATAAATGCTCGTCGCTTCCTGCACATTGCTCCTATGGTCGAGCATAGCTGCAAATGTTTTGGGGTAGCATTTCTTGGCCACAATCTCGTATCGCGGATGGGGGATATCTTTTTTCTTTTCTTGCGGTCCTTCGGGGGGGACCAAGTCATCGTCGGGATCATACAGAGTTTCCATTCGCTCCTCCGTCGTCGAGCGAGTACTGACATGGGATGTCGGCGCCACACATTGAAAAGAGGCCTCCAATTCATGGAGCTTTCCTTTAGGCAGTGACGTCTTGTATGCGGCATCCTGGATGCCGAGGTGCATCGCAATCGTGATGTAAGGGCGATTGTCTGGCAATGTCCTCCCTTTATCTTTCCGAAAGAAGTCATTTACACCATCTAGCTTCTTTTCGTCTATCGCCAGCACCTCAAACTCTTCTTTGTTCTTGACCTGGATGAGGATTGCGCTCATTCTATCTGGCGTGATCTTCTTTTTGAGGTCGAAAACTATTGGTATGATGCAATCGATGTTCCTCTGATTTGTGGAGCACTGCATAGCCATTCCACGCATGATGGCCGCCCAGGCGCCAAATTGGTTGGAGACGGACTCGTTTTCCGACTTTCCGAAATGCGTGAAGTGAACATACGCTTTCCCAAACGCCTTTCTGAACGTTCTCCAGTTCGCACAGTTGTGTGGGTCCTTGTCCAAGACTGTTTCCATGTTGTCCTCACCGAAGAGCGCTTGTAGGAAGTCGATGACTGGGATGGGATGGTCGAACGTTATGCGCTTCGGGTCCTCGGGGTTTCCACACTGCTTCCTTGTTGCCTTGTCGAAAGCTTCGAGCAGCAGCAAGCGCATAACAAGCTCGCCTCTCTCGCCTTTGTTGATCAATCCGCTCTCGATGAAATATGCCAGGTTAGCGGGAACCGAAGATCTGCTCCGAATCAAGAAGCGCGCAGCAGCCTCGGCGAGGATCGGCTCTGACGGGTAGCCCGATCGGAGATATTCACGATGCTTCGGAACGCTATAGGCAATCCGAAGGTTGCTTTCGACTAATTCGACCTCCGCTTTACGGGCCAGCTCGCGAATAGGCTCGAACTCCAGAAGCAATCGAGTGCTCAAAGCTGCAAGATGAGCGCGACTGCGGTGGACAGTAGTCTCATCGAGCGCCTGATTAAGTTGGAATCCGGTGAGTTTCGAGTACGCTGTGTCCACCAGCATACGTTGGACATCAGGATCTTCAGACATGAAGAATGCTCTCCAGCTGATTAAGCAAACCTCTTAGCTATCGTCACATCATGATGAAAGCCAAAAAAAGCACATACAGTGGTCGACCGAACCGACAGATAAATCCCAACGAGCATGCATCCGTCAGCGTTACTCCTCCCGGAGGAACCAAAGTCTGGTTGTCACAGAGGAGATCAAAGGGCATTTCAGTGATCGGTGCTTGGAGATCATCCTGCTTTCCACCCTGCACTCGCATTGAGGGATGGAATATCTTTGCAGGAGATAACTTGTGAAGCTGCGAAGTTGTTGACAACATCACAACGAAAAGAGGAAGGGCTGCTAGCTGGTGAATAGCCTTGCATAGAGCATGATAGCGAGTGCGACCAGTGTCTATTCCTTTAGTGCTGTGCTGCATCAGTGAGTGGGCCTCGTCGAAGTACATGACCAGACGTAGAGAGTTGGCAGGCTCGGCAGACTCATCATGCACAAGGGATTTGATTAGATTTTCGCCTGCCTCGACCGCACGCTGAGCGTATGAATTGAGCTTGATGCTACCTTCGTTCTGTTTCAATTCGATCACTTCTGGCAACCGTCTGACATACTGAAGATGGATGTCGTGAACGAAGAACCGAAATGTCCGGAGAGGTCACTTACTTTTACCGTTTTCTCATAGAATTGCTTTCTCGTATCACCCTCTGCAAGATGCGCTCTCCATTCTTCGGCTAGTGGTGCGTTACTTCGAATTCCCGCCGTCTGGTCTTCAATAGAGCTCCCAACAGTAGATAGCGTTTGTGTAGTCGCTTCGAATAGATGCTTGAAAAAGATTAGATAAGCAGCTACTATAGAATCAAAGTTCTCCTTGGAACCCTCTTCAAGCAGAAAATCACGGATTTTGGAATCTGCGACAGGATATGCATAGCCTGTTTCGAACGGAACACGGTGAACGTTAAACTTCAAACTATTGAGATTGACGGCGCACCTGAGTCGCCTTCCGCACGGAGATTGAAGGGAAATGTGAACACCAAGCGAGCCATTTCGTCGACCGTGCGTGATTTTCCGGTACCAGAGCTTTGGACAATAGAAACATAGTTGGAGTACAATTGCTCCGGGACGCGAGAAGAGTTCATCCTCTCGATGCTGTTGTACAGTGTTTGATGAGCGGTGCCATAGAATGTTCTTGACCATGCCGATACCGTTGCTGTACATATCGCGTGAATGAGTGAACCACCGTCTCATTCTAATTCCGACTATACTCACCTTGCTCTGTAAATTATGCGCTGCCAGTCACATCGGGAGCATTGTGTATAATTCAATTGACTCACTTTGAGCTGCATCAAAGTTGGTTTCCTCAGTAGCAATGGGTATTCTGAATAGACCTGTGGAGTATAAGCCCCATATAACTTGACACGTGCATGCTGAATGACTGGACGTACTGAGGTTACGGATGGCTGCAAAACTGCCGTTCTCAGCGCAGGTTTTCATCATCTGCAAGATTTCCTCGGCATGAGGTCCTGAGAATACATCCTGACAGGTCAATGCATCCGAATATTCTTTCCGAATCTGACTTTCGCGGTCGCTCTGCGCCCGGAGAGCATGAAACAGGACAACGCCAAGAGTACCCTCGTGCTCCTGCAGATCGTCGGGATTCATCTTTAATAGCATTGCAGCCACACCAGCATTATCTCCGATTTTACGCCATCTTTTGACGTACTCCCAGAGTCGCTGATCGATCTTGTCATGAGCCGCTGGGCCCAGGACATCAGGCAAGACTTGCAACGCTTCTGTTTGTGACATATTTTGGTCGTTCAACCGGATGTAAATCGGATGACCTTCTGCGTATGCTTGTCAGAACCGAAAGGTGGGGCAGGAGATGGCTCGTTTCGTTTGGCTGCCGCGGCGGTTTACAGCGGGTAGGGGACACGAAGGACTGTGGGGGATTAGACGTACTGAGATGTCCACAATGATGGCACAGCAGGGTCTTATATATCTGCAGGGGCACTAGTCGTGGCGCAGGATGGAGTCAGACTTGCACTTGCCACGGCTCAAGTGGGAATGTGTTGTATAGTCTGTTGTACCGCTTAGTTTGTGGATGAGTTGCCGACCTCATCAAGATCAACTTGATAGGGACCTCGGGAGTCGGCTGAGTGTTCCCGAGGAAGGTACCAGTCAGGCGCCCTTGATAGTAATCATCATCTGGCGGCAAGATGCATAATGTGAACTTAACTGGACCGCTCGCTTCTCACACACGATATTGCTAGTAACTATTGCATAGCTACGATGATGTTACGATCATCTTGTCGTTATTTGCGATCATACAAGGCTCATCGAACAACATGATCTGTAAATAGTCATGCCAGGTACTGCACAGATGACACCAGTCCGTGAGACCATCATGATGAACAATCAAACTATTCCTGTTACATCAATGCTCGAGAGAGCAGGTGCGATCAAGGCCTCGTTCTCGTATCGAGCATGAAACGGCGATACGGTTCTTGTATCCACCGCAAACGTGAACAAATGGTTGCCTGGTGGTTGGCTCCGGCTGACACCGTCATGCCATTTATAATTCTAGTGAGAGACAAGGCCATTATCATTACCTCGAGACTGTTCTGTTCGGTGGAGCTTGATCTGGCAGGAGATGAACACGATATGATGACGTCCGTGATGACACAGGAAACGTGTAGGCCCAGTGGCGTTGGCGATCTTTCAACATGCTGACTCAGAAATCATGCAGACTCACTGGATATTCGTCCACGATGACAGAAAATTTGAGACGGAGATCGCACGAGACCAAGCAAGTCGTGTTTCAACTGGCGAAGGCTTCCATGTGGCACAAAAACGCCACAACAACTATCTGATCGTTCTTGCTCACATTTCATAGAAATGATCAACTGGCCTACTGTTACAGCTCCAGCTACATTGTGGCATTCTGACTATGCGATTCTGCATTCGGGTGGTGAGTGGATGCTTGCAAGTTGATCCTTGGAAGTTGAGCCTGCCAGCCTACCCGCAATTTGCCCTCGTTCGCAATAGCAGAAGGTAGCTTCCATGAGTGCCAAATGCCGCCGAGTCCGAGACAAATGAATGCTAAGAACTGGCAAAAAGTAAACGAGATGTAGGTGAGATAGTCGCCCAGCCAGATATCATAGCAAGAGTCGCACTGATCTGTAAGAGTATTCCAGTGATATTTCCGGGCTGCTGATGAAGCGAGAAACTTATAGCGGCATGCTGTGGAAGCCACATCATGCCAGTGAGACAGGAATCATCATGACAGTCATAAACGCGTGACCATTTGAAATATAACATGACTCGCAAACAGCTGCTACACACCTCTGATAGTAGGAAATATGTCTCGTGCTACTGAATGCTACGGTAGCTCATGAGCACTTTCGCATCATTGCAAGCGGTCTGTATCCATTGTCTGCGCTGACGCCACTGCTTGTCGGATGGTACAGTCTTCAATCGGTCCTTTATACGCTCAAATTGTTTGAGCTTCCTGTACAAGCATTTCTCACTTTCACCTCAAAAAAAGTATCTACACTTATTAAGGAAATCTAAAAGCATATTGTCATAAAGTTTCAGAGCAAGCTAATGAGAGCTGTGATGTACAAAAATAAAAGAAGCCGAGAGGGCCAAAATGCGCGTCTCCCACTCCTCTATACACTGTCACGCATAGTCACGCTCTCGCCACAACTCAGCTCAGAAAAACGTGAGGTCACATGTGATCTTATGTGACAGAATGTGACATGACCCCCCTCTCCGGGAATAGATCACCTACTGTGGTCGATGCACCCATGCTGTCAGCTCAAATAAATGCATACAACATGCCTCTTGACTATATAGATGTAGTTGGCATGATGACATTTCAGAATTTCTCCCTCTACATGCTATGAGAGCCAAAATAATATTTCGCTAAAAAGCTCTGAACAGCAAAAATGCCATATTGCAAAAGAACAGGCAAACCACCTGCATATTTTTCTATGGGCCATGAACCATGTAGCCAGTAGCTATATAATGCATTTTTTACTGAGCAATTTGACTCAGAAATCACTGAGAAAAATGCTGCTGTATAAAGGACTAGTGGTGTATAAAGCACCGGTTGAAGACTGTAGGGGCCGATATTCGGCCCTGAACAAATCTGTCAACCTAGGGTGTCAGATGTCAAACACAGACTGCAGGGGCTACTGACAGTTCTCTCAGCAGCACGAACCTGCATCAATCAGAGTACTTGGCACTCTCATGGTCGAGCAGTGCCTTTGCTGCCTGCATCAGGTTCAATATTATCGTAGACGATCCAAAGAGTTGAGCATAGATGACATCTCCTAGGCACAATGGATCAGCATCAACAGTTGGTGCTTGGTGCATGCTATCGTTGCCTATCGTAGAATCTCGACCAAGCATCTACCATTTGCACGACGAAGGGAATAAGGCATCACCCAGGAGGTAGATGGAGCCCATACCATTGCGCATTCCTGGGCAGCAAGAGCAGCAGAATGATATAAAAAAACCAGGAAGCTTGCAACCAAGAGCTTAATAGAGATCCATTGTAACCACAACATGACTGAGATGAGAATGCTGCAGAGAAATAACGATTGAACCACCGCTGCATTAATTAGCAATCAACGCATTGTTTTCTTCACAATCAGCACTCGATTCTAGCAGCAGCACCTAGATGCTCCACTTGAAAAGAACCAGAGCGCATTCAACAAGAAGCGTGGAATAGCGGCATGTTGACCTGTCACTTTGGCTGCATACGTGCTAGCATTTTTGTAATCTAGCCTGTAGGGCCTGAGTCAGTGAGAGCGGTGGAACACTAAGAGCTATGCCGAGACATACCACAAGGGCTTCTCAGAAATGAGAATATCCAATGTGGAACAATTGATTTTTCTCCCCTGCTGTACATGGAAGATCAGATGCATATATTGCCACTGGGTGATGGTGTGTCAGACATGAAATCATCAATGGTGAACATCGCACCATGATCTGGCATTGCTGTGAAGGTGAGGTTCCACAGGGCAAGACCTTCTATCCCATGTTGACCTGATTAAGGTCACCTCAAAGGCCTCAATGACATCGATATGACTTACTGCAGACTGACTTGAAATTCTCATCATGAGATAGCACTGCTAGTGTCATGATAGCTCATGTCAAAATAAAGCACAGTGAGCTCGTCAGTTCAAATTGTTGAGACACTTAGGTTACACACGATAAATGGTAACTGATCAGATCGTGCGACCTCATTCTAGAGTCTTTCTTCCTGCCAACAGGAGGGATGGCGTTCTGCATAAACAGCGTTGTGGCGAGAGCTTCCACTGCAGTGAAGTTCTCCTACCTTCACATTTTTGGCTGTCTGCATTGGCCCATGCATGAGCATCTGCACGTAAAATAAACCATGGATGAACTCATGGCGTGGTAAGTTGCTTAGGCCTCCCAGACAAGAAAGAAGACAATGAGAGCACCAAATATAATGATGGACACAATGGGCCTCGCATGTCGCCAACCATCGACTGACCCCTGACTTGACTGCAAACATCAACAGGATCAGCGCAACTGTGACAATATGACTTCAGCTCGAATGTGCTGCGCAGGGAGACATACGACTCACTCGTCAGCGAGAACGCTCCGTTCGGGTCCATTGTGTTGATCCTCTTCAAACATGCTGCCTTACTGTCATGTGCGATTGTTGCGACTGAAGCCAGATGAGTACAAGGGAGCCTACGACAAAGCAAATGATGGTGATAAAGTAAAGACCCAGGGTCATGATGCATACATCATAAGGGCAGCACTTATGATCATCCCAATGACTTGTACAGGGTGAAGTTCAGCATCGATGCATATAATGCACATGACAGGATACTCACCGTTCCCAAGTGCAGCTGCATCAATGAATGCAGCCTGCACCTCAGACTGGATGCTGGGTTCTGGAACATGTGCACGATGGTGTGGACGGTATGTTCAGACTGCATCTTCAATGGTGGATGAAGCGCTGTAAACACGAAACAGATTCATGCATAACAGACTTAGACACGCCCATGAATGCTCATAGCATGATGAGGTCTGTCGCTCCATGAGGAGATTTGTGTGCTCACGCCATATTGTCTGTTTGATAAGTTTCTGCGCCCAGGGATGGCATCAGCATGAATTAACGTGTACAGAATGTAGGACACGGACCGTTATGGTGAACTTATTATATGGAAAGAGCTGAGGCATGATATTGAAGAAGTTATCGTCGTACTCGCCCAGGATGACCACCTTCAGAGAGATTTGGGCGAGCATGGGTTTAAGTGATGGCGGGAATTTCCCCTTTACTTCCCAGTTCTCTGCAAAGGGGTATGAGCATGCTTGTTGGATGAGCGCGACCACACAGGAAACGCACCTTTGGCAATCGCTGCCTTCATTGCAACAAACATCTCCTCTAGCTCGGGGTGGAACGGTTGCTGTGGAGGATCATAGAGATCAGCGACATGAACGATGAAACAGCATGCAGATGTACGATCTCGACGGTCTTCCACCTCTTCTTCGAACTACCCTCTGATGGAGTGCTCAGCGTATTTGTGAACGAGCTGATCTCTGTGACCAGCTTACGCTTCGAGCCGGAGCGCTCCTCTTCCGTATCCGACAAGAGCGCTATAGGCTCCTCCCATGTGTTGTGCTCCTTCTTCTTCGGTGAGGATACTTTGGAGGTGCTTGGCTGTGACGGGATCAACAGTGGGCCTGCAAGGGATGGAGGTAGAGGCCCAGAAGACAGTGCAGCAGTGACGGAGGCAGCAGGGGCGAGAATGTTCAACTTCTTGGACTTTGGCTTCTTGGTTGGCGTCCTGAAGACAGGGCATCAGTATGCGTGAGAAGTGCTGGCGGTAGGTCTGTATGCACTTATTCAGCAGCACAACTTGCCCGCTTGATACGTAGAAGCCCTTCTGTTTCATCTGCACAAAGAACTTGTGCTCATCTTGAGCCAGCTCGGAGTCATCAATGAAGGGGTCGGTGGTGTCGTAGTACTCAGATGAGAGGTTCTTCCTCTGCAGCAGAAAGTCAGCACATACTACGAGTGCTACGCTACGCAAAGA